GGGATGTTGAATTTAAGATATCTATGACACATTCAATTTGAAATGACCAATAGACAGTTGGAGATGTGAGATCAGAGGTTAGAAGAAAGGTTAGGGATGGATAAAGAGATCCCAAATCCTAATAGAAATGATAATTGAATCCATGGGAACTAAGACTGCTAAGTGATATAGTATAGACGGAAAAGAGAAGAGAGTCAAGAATAGGGCCTTAGGGAATACTCAGGTTTAGTGAACCTGACCTGGATATACATCCAGTAAATCTTAGGAGTGGTCAGACAGGTAGGAGAAGAGTCAGGAGAGAATAATGTCTCAAAAACCTGGAGAAAATAATATTAAGAGAGTAATTGACAGTATCAAAAAATGCAGAGAGGTCAAGAAGGATGAGGACTGAGATAAGGCCATTCAGTTTGGCAGTTAAAGAGATGATTAGTAACTTAGGAGAGAACAGTTTCTATTGAATGATGAAGTTGAAAGGCAGACTGTAGAGTTAAGATAAGAGTGAGAAGAGGAAGCATTAATTGTAAATAGTTTTCTTAAGGAATTTAGCCATGAAGCAGGAGATAAAACATGATGATAGATACCAGTTATGGATGGATCAATTTGGAGTTTTTGAGGATAAGGGAAACATGAGTATCTTTAATAGGCAGTAGGGAATCATACAGTAGACAAAGAGACTGAAAATTATTGAGAGAGTAGGGATGATGGAGAGGGCAAACTGTTGGGAGAAGATGGGATAGAATGGTATGCTTTGTAGTTGTGTAGGGGTTTGCCGTGGCAAGGAGAGGGTCTATCTCTTCATGTGAGATGGGTAAAAAAGATAGTGGTCAAAGGCATCTCGGTGGTGTAAGATGAGGAGAAAGGGGAAAAAAGGATCTCTCAGTAAGTGGTTGAAGTGTTTTCCATAAAAATGTGAAACAAGATTCTTAGCTGAGAGGTGGGGGGAAAGGGATCCATGAGAGTTTTAAGGAGGAATAAAAAGATTTGAAAAAGTTGTTGTGGTGAGTAGAATAGTCAATTCAGGAAATATGAAATGATTGATTTATCAAAGTAAGGCCCATTTGAGAGTATATACAATTTTGTAGTAGTCTCAGTCAGTATAGTTTCATGATTCTCCCCACCCCCTGCCCCAGCTTCTTTCAGAAGCACATGAATAGAAAAAAAAAGCAATGGATGATTAGAGTAATACAAGTCCATGACTTGACACTGCAAAATTGGCAAAAGGATAAATGGACAAAGGACTAGAATGAAAAGGATAGTGCAGAATTGACCTGATTCACCAGGGATCATGATGGGGAAGGGAGGAGTGTGTAGTGAGTGTTGGAGGTAATGGCCTGGGAAGGAACTGAGGGGTGAAGAGCATTGTGATGAGGACAAACAGAGCTAGTGATTGTAAGGCAGAGGGAGATGTGAAATGCCAACAAATCATGATCAGATAAGGACACTTCAGATTGCACAAACAAGGAAGTCGAGCATTTTTGTGTGATGGCAAGATCAAGGATATAAACATCTGTGTATAGCTGAGGTTATAGTGGAGGAGTAGGGCATGGGAAATATGTAATTGGGAGGTTATTTTATTTGAGGGAGTGTCAATGTGTATGTTTAAATCCTCTCTTATGAGGGCAGAAGTAGGGGAGGAGAGAAATACTGTAACTAAACTCCTTGACAAAAAGTGTGTAAGTTGGTAGATTACAGCTACCAGTATCTTGATTGAATGGAAAATATATGGAGAATGAATGTTAAAGGAGAAATAGTTACTGAGTGATGGTGACAGAAATAGAGCCTGAAAGTGGCAATGGGGAGTAAGGAGTAATCTAACATTTCTACCTTTAGCAGTTATTCAAAGATGCATGAAAATGCAACCAGAACTGGAAAGAGTAGCCTGGGAAGTTCTGTCACTGGGAGAGAGCAAAGTCTCACTGAGGGTAAGAAGAAGGAGCAAAAGAGGAAAAATTTTAGATGAAAGCCGGGCATTCCAAAGAACACAGTGAAAGGATTGGGTAGCTTTACAGTGGTACATTCTAGGTACTCATGTTGAGTTAAGGTATGTGTTGAGTTGAGAGGGATGGAAAAGTAAAAGGGAGGTCACTGAGAGATATTTTGAGCAGTTATTTTTAAAATTTTTTAAATTTATTTTGTTAAATATTTCCCAATAATAAATTTTTTCCAACATTAATTTTAAAAAATTTTGAACTTCAAATTCTCTCCCTCCCTCCTGCCCCTCCCACATTCCATGAGAAAGCAAACATGCAGCAAAAGAAAACACACAAATAAAAAAAACACAGGAAAAATAAAGTGAAAAAAAGTATGCTTCAATCTTCACCCAGAGGTCATCACTTTTCTCTCTGTAAGTGATTAACCTTTTTCATCATGATTCCTTTGGAATTGGCTTGGATCTTCGCCTTGATCAGACTAGCTAAGTCTTATGCAGTTGATCATCCTTACAATATTGCTGTTACTGTGTATAGTATTCTAGTTCTGCTCACTTCACTCTATATCACTTCATATAAGTCTTCCCAGGTTTTTCTGCAACCATAATGTTCATCTTTTAGCACAATAATATTCCATCATAATAATATACTGCAATTTGTTTAGCTATTCCCCAATTGATTGTTATCCCCTCAGTTTCCAGCTCTGCCACCACAAAAAGAGTTGCTATAAATATTTTTGTACAAATAGGTCCTTTTCCCCTTTCTTTGATCTTATTGGGATACAGATCTAGTAGTGGTATTGCTGGGTCAAAGGATATGCACAGTTTTACGGTCCTTTGCGAATTGTTGGAGCAATTTTCTACTACACAACAATGCATTAGTGTCCCTATTTTTGCCACATCCCTTCCAGCATTTGTTATTTTCCTTTTCTGTCACGTCAGCCAATTTGATAGGCATGAGGAGGTACCTCAGTTGTTTTATTATACATTTCTGCAATCAATAGTGATTAAGAGTATTTTTTCATGTGACTGTTGATAGTTTTATCTTCCTCTGAAAACTACCTGTTCATATTCTTTGGCTATCGTTTGGGGAATGGCTTGTGTTTTTATAAGTTTTATAAGTTCCCTATATATTTGAGAAATGAGGCCTTTATCTGAGAAACTTATTATAAATTCACCCTTCTGGACCCCCAGTTCCTTGCTTTCCTTCTCATTTAGTCGCATTAGTTTTACTCATGAAAACCCTTTTCAATATCATCTAATCAAAATTATCCATTTTACTTCTTGTGATCCTCTCCATCTCTTGTTTAATCATAAATTCTTCCCTTCTCCATGGAGTTGATAGGTACCATTTTCCAAACTCTCCTAATTTGCTTAAAGAGTAATCCCTTTGTGTCTAAATCATGTACCCAGTTTGACCTCATCTTGGTACAAGGGGTGAAATGTAGATCTATACCTAGTTTCTGCCAAACTGCTTTCTAGTTTTCCCAGTAATTTTTGTCAAATGGTGAGTTCTTACTCCCAAAGCTAGGATCTTTGGATATACAACTTTAGATTACTGTAGTCACATTATTACTGTATATTATGTACTTAATCCATTCCAGTGATCCAATATCCTATTTCTTAAAAATAGTTTTCATGATTACAATTTTATAATGTAAGTTGAAATTGGGTACTGCTAGGTTGTATCATTTCACATTTTTTTCTTTGATTCCCTTGATATTCTTGACTTTGTGTTCTTCCTCATGAATTTTATTATTTTTTCTAGCTCTATAAAATAATTCTATGGTAGTTTGATTGACATAGCACTGAGTAAGTAAATAAATTAGGCAGAATTGTTATTTTTATTATAGTGACTCATCCTATTTATGAGCAATAATTTTTATCTAGTTGTTTAGTTCTGTATTTGTGTGAAAAATATTTTATAATTATGTTCATATAGTTCCTTGGTTTGTCTTGGCAGGTAGACTCCCAAGCATTTTATAACATCTGCAGTTATTTTAAGTGGAATATCTCTATCTCTTCCTGCTGGATTTTGTTGGTAATTTATAGAAATATTGATGATTTATATGGGTTTATTTCATATCCTGCAACTTTGCTAAAGTTGTTTCAAATTTAAGAATGTCTAACTCTGACCTTTTATTGGCTCTGCCACTCCAGAATTTAACTTGAGGTGCTATTTCAAAAAATTTTGGAGGGCAGTGCTGGGAGAACTTGGCTGAGTGCTTCCTCTACTCTCCCATCTTGGCTCCATCCCTGGAAGTTCAAACAATGATTTGAGGATGTTGGAGTGGTAGAGTAATACTGAAAATAACTTCTTCATGAGCTTGATTGCATAATGATGTGTTTTTTAAAAAATTATTAATTGTTGGGTTTATCTTTGTATCCACATTTTCAGAAAGTTGTCCTTTCTTCTCCTCAATGTAATTATTTCATTTGTCTTCAATATTTTTTTCTAGAGGGCTTCACCAATCTATCCATATCTGACTCATCTTCTAGATTTTTAGTCCTAAATTTTAGTTTCCTTTCTTCCTTCCTTCCCCTGCTCCCTCATGACTGAAAGAACTACTCTCTGCCCTGGAACTGTGACCTGGAAGAGGGTATGGGCAGTGTAGTTCCTTCCTCTCTAACTTTTAGCAGAGCAATACCAATTCATTACAAATATATAGCAGTAGTTGTCCCACATCTGTCCCACCTTCTATCCCTACCTTCTTTGAAACCCTGTCATGATATAGTTGATGGCTGGAAAGACTTCTCTGGGAAAGTAGAATCTATTTTTCTTTTCCCCTTTTTTTCTCTTCCCCTAACATCTCTGTATCCGTCACGTTAAAGTAGTCTCTCTTTATTGGCATCGAGTCAGGATTCTTTACTTAAGGCATTCTCAACACTTTCCCCATCAACTCCCAGCACCTAGACTTGATGAGTATCAAAGGGTAAATAAAGTTTTCTTAGTTATGTCAGCTGTGACTTTCAACATTAGTCCCTATAATTTAAATGTGACAAGCTGGATGCAGACATGAAAAAAGTGTTGGAATGATTTTGTAAACTTTGTATGCTTTGCAATTTTTTGTAGATCCCTTTCACACTCTGGACCAAGACTCAGAAGGAAAGTGGTCTCTCTGTATGAAAGCTTTGTTAACAAATCATTGAAAGAACATTTTTTACCACCTATTATGGAAAAGATTATTTTCTTTAATTTTTGTAAGTATGAACATTTTATGACTTTGACTATGACAATAATAGCAAAAACAGTAATTATTTATGTTTTTCTGAATATATAACATAGGGCACTAGTTAAGTGACAGATGTAAATGTAGCCAGTTCTCTGTGTAATATGGACTGTTTTGATTTCATGCAATCAAAATTATCCATTTTACTTCTTGTGATCCTCTCCATCTCTCATTTGATCATAGGCTCATCCCTTGTCTAAGAGATCTGATAGGTAAAATTTTCAATGCTCTCCGAATTTACTTATATCACCCTTTATGTCTAAATCATGTACCCATTTTGACCTCATCTTGGTACAAGGGGTGAGATGTGGGTCTATACCTAGTTTCTGCCAAACTGCTTTCCAGTTTTCCCAGTAATTTTTGTCAAATGGTGAGTTCTTACTCCCAAAGCTAGAATCTTTGGATATACAGCTTTAGATTACTGTGGTCACATTACTACTATATATTGGGTACCTAATCCATTCCACTGATCCACCATCCTATTTCTTAGCCAGTAGCAAATTGTTTTCATGATTACCACTTCGTATTATAAGTTGAAATTGGGTATAGCTAGGCTGCCTCACTTCACATTTTTTTCTTTGATTCCCTTGATATTTTTGAGCTTTTGTTCTTCCAGATGAATTTTATCATTTTTTTTTTTTGCTCTATAAAAATTTTTTTGGTGGTTTGATTGATATAGCATTGAATAAGTAAATTAACTTAAAGATATTTGTCATTTTTATTTTATTTTATTTTTATTCATTTTATTGCTTATCCATGAGCAATAAATGTTTCCTTCATTTGTTTAGATCTGTCTTTATTTGTGTAGAAAGTATTTTGTAATTATGTTCATATAGTCCCTTGGTTTGTCTTAGTAGATAGACTCCTGAGTATTTTATACTGTCTGCAGTTATTTTATTTTTTAAATATATTTTATTTTCCACAATTACATGTTAAAACAATTTTTAACATTTTTAAAAAGTTTTGAGTTCAAATTCTAACCTCTCCTTTCCCTCCTCCCCTCCCTAGATGGTAAGCTATCTGATATAGGTTATACATGTTTTGTAGTTTTTTAAATGGAATTTCCCTGTCTATCTCTTCCTGTGGATTTTGTTGGTAGTTTATGGAAATGTTGGTGATTTATGAGGTATATTTTATGTCCTGCAGCTGCTGAAATTGTTAATTATTTCAACTATTTTTTAGTTGATTGTTCAGGGTTCTCTAAGTATACCTCGTCTATAAAGAGTAATAGTTTGGATTCCTTGTTTATTTTTATTTCTTCAATTTCTTTTTCTTGTCATTGCTATAACTAGCATTTCTAGTACCATATTGAGTAATAGTGGTGATAATGGAAATTCTTATTTTACCTCTGATCTCATTGGTATGTTTTCCTCCATTAAAGATCATGCTTGCTCTTGGTTTTAAATAGATACCACTAATCATTTTAAAATAGCAATCAGGGGTGGGGAACCTGAGGCCTTGAGACCACATGTGGCCTTCTAGGTCCCTGGGTGGTATCTTTTGACAGAGTCCAAGTTTTACAGAATAAATCTTTTTATTAAAGGGATTTGTTCTCTGAAGTTTAGATTCATTCAAAGGGCTGCACTTAAGGATCTAGAGGACCACATGTGGCCTTGAGGCCACAGGTTCTCCATCCCTGAGATAGCTCAATTTATTGCTATGCTTTCTGGTATTTTTTTTGAGTAGGAATTTGTATTGCATTTTGTCAAAAGCCTTTTCTGTATCTATTGATTTAATCCTTTAATTTTTGTTGTTGATACGGTCAATTATGCTTATAGTTTTCCTAATATTGACCCAGACCTGCATTCTTGGTATAAATCCTACCTGCTCATTGTGTGTGAATTTTGTGATATATAACTGTAATTCTCTTTCTAGTATTTTACTTATTTATTTTGCATTGATGTACATTAGGGAAATTGGTCTATAATTTTCTTTTCTGCTTTTAATTTCCTTGGTTTAGGTATCAAAACCATATTTGTGTCCTAAAAGAAATCTAGTAGGACTTTTTACTTATTTTTTTTTCCAAATAGTTTATATGGTAATAGAATCAAATGTTCTTTACATGTTTGGTAGAATTCACTTATAAATTCATCTGGTCCTGGGGATTTTTTTCTTAGGGAGCTCATTCATGGCTTGTTCAATTTCTTTTTCATCTACATATGTATACATATATGTGTTTATGCACATACACACACATATTCTCTTTCCTCTTCTGTTAATCTGGGCAATTTATATTTTTTTGTAAATATTCATCCATGCCACTTAGAGTGTCAGGTTTACTCACATATGATTGGGCAAAATAACTCCTAATAATTGTTTTAATATCATCTGCATTTGTGGTGCATTCACCTTTTTAATTTTTGATATTGCTCAATTTATTTTTTTTCTTTTAAAAAAATAAAATTAGCTAGTGGTATATCTATATTATTATTTTCCTCACTCTCACAAAACCAACTTCTACTTTTATTTATTAGCTCAGTTTTTTTTACTTTCAGTTTTATTAATCATTTCTTTGATTGTTTTTAGATTTTCGTTTTGGTGTTTAATTGTCTACTTTGTTCTTTTCCTAATATTTTTAATTTCATGTTGAATTCATTGATCTGTTCTTTCTCTCTCTTTTTTAATTGATATAATGGTTTAGAGATTTAATTTTTCCCTTAACTACTACTTTGGTTGCATCCCATAAATTTTTGTATGTTGTCTCATTGTTGTCATTCTCTTTAAAGGAATTATTAATTGTTTTTATAATTTGTTCTTTGGCTTACTCATTCTGCAGGATTAGATTATGTAGTTTCCAATTAATCTGTTTCTAAGTCCCTTTATTGCATGTAATTTTTTTTTATCATATTAGGGTCTGAAAGACTGAATTTAATAATTCTGTTTTTCTGCATTTGTTTATGAGATTTTTATGCCTAATACATGGTCAGATTTTGTGAAGGTGCCCTGTACACCTGAAGAAAGCTATACTCTTTTGTATTTCCATTCAATTTCTTCCAGAAATAAAAAAAAAAAATGGCATACTCATCTCTATTTCCATTCAATTTCTTCCATCCAACTTTTCTAAAATTCTATTATTCATTTCCTTACCTTTCCCCTTATTTATTTTATGGTTAAATGTATCTAGCTCTGAGAGGGGGAAGTTGAGATCCCCCACTATTATAGATTTTCTTCCTATAACTCATTTAACTTTTGCTTTAAGAATTTGAATGTTATACTATTTGCTGCTTGTATGTTTCATATTGATTTTACTTCACTGTCTATAGTACCTTTTAACAAAGTTTAGTTTCCCTGCTTATCTCTTTTAATTAATTTTATTTTTGTTTTTGCATTGTCTGAGATAACCCTGCCCTTTTTTGCTCTAGCTGAAGCGTAATAGATTTTGTTTCAGCCCCTTATTTCAACTGTATGTGTTTCTGTTTCACATGTCTCTCATAAACAACACATTGTTGGATGCTGATTTCTAATCTATTCTGCTATCTAATTCTGATTGATAGGTGAGTTCATCTCATTCACATTCACAGTTATGATTACTGTGTATATCTTCTTTCTCTCTCTCTTTATCCTGTCCCTCCTCAAAAGTTTGTTTTGCTTCTGACCACTGCCTCCCTTAATCCACCCTCCCTTTTGTCACATCTGCTTCTTTCTTTTGTCCCCTTCACCTCCTACTTCTTTGATGGGTAAGATAGATTTCTACACCCAATTGAGTGTGTGCACATGCACGTGTGTGTGTGTGTGTGTGTGTGTGTGTGTGTGTGTGTATTCTTCCCTCTTTGAACCAGTTCCGATGAGAGAGAGGTTCAATCATTGCCTATCCATTTCCCTTTTCACTTCAAAAGCTCTTCCTTGCAGACATCTTCCTAACTTTACTTCTCTTTTCTCCTTTCTCCCAGTGTCTCTCTTTTTCTCATCCTTTAATTTTTTTTGAGATCACACCAATGTAATCAACTCACAGTCATGCCTTTTGTCTATGTAGACTCCTTCTAACTAACCTAATAATCGAAAAGTTCTTAGGAGCTACATGTATCATCTTCCTACATATGGATGTATATAGTTTAACTTTATTGGATCTCTTATGATTTCTCTTTCATATTTACCTTTTTATTTTTCTCTTGAGTCTTGTGTTTGAATGTCAGATATTCTATTCAGCTCTGGTCTTTTCATCAGGAATGCTTGAAAGTCCTCTATTAAATATCCATTTCTACCCCTGAAGGATTATATTCAGTTTTTCTAGATAGGTTTCTCTTGGCTGTAATGCTAACTCCTTTGCCCTCTGGTTCTTTAAGTAGAAAGCTGCCAAATCTTGTGTGATCTTGACTGTGACTCCACAATATTTAAATTGTTTCTTTCTGACTGCATACAGTATTTTTTTTTATCTGGGAGCTCTGGAATTTGTCCTGGGAGTTTTCATTTTGAGATCTCTTTAAAGAGAGGATTGGTGGATTTTTTCAGTTTTGATTTTACCTCCTGGGACTAAGATAATGGGGTGGTTTTCCTTTATAATTTCTTGAAATATGATGTCTAGGTGCTTTCAGGTGGTCCAATATTCTTAAATTATCTCTCCTCAATCTATTTTCTAGGTTGGTTGTTTTTCCAATGAGATATTTCATATTTTCTTCTGGTTTTTTTTCATTTTTTGACTTTATTTTATTATCTCTTGATGTGCTATAGAGTCATTAGCTTCCACTTGCTTAATTCTAATTTTTAAGGAATTATTTATTTCAGTAAGCTTTTGTACCTCTTTTCCCATTTGGCCAATTCTGCTTTTTGAGAAGTTCTTTTCTTCAGTGAATTTTTGTGCCTCTTTTACTAATTTATTAATTCTCCTTTCATAATTTTCTTTTATCACTCTATTTCATTTTTCCATTTTCCCCTCTACCATTCTTATTTCTTTTTTTTTAACTCTTCCAGGACTTTTTGTTGGTGTTGTATCTAATTAGCATTTTTCTTTGAGGTTTATATTGTAACTGTTTTCATATTGTTGTCTCCATCTGAGTTTGTGTCTTGATCTTCCCTGACACCATAAAAAGTAGTGACTATGATCCAATTTGGGAGGTGTGTGTGTGTGTGTGTGTGTGTGTGTTCATTTCCCTAGCCTATGTCTTGGCTTTGAACTTTATGTTAAAGTTGGGCTCTGCTCACCTAGTGGTGGTGGGGCACTATCCAAAACTTTGGGCTTTTATGTGCTGTTGTTTTCAGAGCTATTCCTGCAGGTCTGAAAATTTTCAGTGCTTCAAAAGTAGTGTGATCTGGAGAGAGGTGTGCTCTCTACTATCTACTGTGCTCTGATTTTTATCCAGAAAGGGCCCCTGTTCCCCTGTAGCTGCAAGCACTAGTACTCCTCTTGGTGCTGGAAGTGTTGATCAGGTCCTCTGTTGTCCTGCAGCTGCAGGTACTAGTGCTCTTATCTGCCCTGGAACTAGGATCATGGCCCTTGTCCTTCTCCACCCTGAAACTGTAATCCAGAACCCAGTGTATGGGCAACAGAATTGCCAGTTAACACTCATTCTATGCAAGGCCAGCAGAGAGTCCCTTGGAATCTTTTTCTTACCAGTTTTATGACTCCTTTGCTATCTTTTGGGATGAGAGATTGCAAAACTGCCATTGCTGCTGTTACAGCTGCCTCCAACACCCACTGCTGGTGCTACTATCCTGTGTACTCTTGGCTAGTCTCTTCCCTGATGTCATAGACCTCTCCTGCAAATCTCCTAAGTTGCATTAGCTGGAAAAATATCTCACTTTGACCTTTTGTTGGCATAGCTGCTCCAAAATTTGATTTGAGGCATTATTATAAAGTGATTTGGAGGGGAATGTTGGGAGAATTCATATGAGTTGCTGCTTGTATTCTGCTTTCTTGGCTCTACTGCTATCAATTTTTTTTGAGAGTTAAGTGAAATAGCATAAATTCAGAAAACAAGTTCACATTGGTAAGCCATCATTTAGTTCATAATAAAAAGATACAATTTGGCAACTGATTTGTATTTTCCAGGGAAAGCTCCATTTCTAGTGGATTTGAAGAAACCAGAATCTTGGATTCCACACACCATTAATTTCTATATTAAACCTGAAAATGGAATAACTTTAGGTGTCTGGTAAGTGTAGTGATGTGAAGAATATTTCTAGATGTATTTTAATGTAAAAAGGAAGGGGAAGAAGCATCAGGCTTTCGTCTTCATTCAAGGTGGAGGGAAGGCACAGATGCAGAAAAATTTGTGAGTGACCTCAGAATATGCTGAATATTTCTATATATCTATGTAATCTTTGGGATCCTTTGGTTGGGATTTGAGGGGCATATAGGCAGATTGGGACAGGCAAGTGAGGACATTGACTCATAACTCAACAAATTTAAAAAAATTTAGTAATGCCTACTATATGCAATACCTTGGGCTCCATACTAGAAATATACCCTGACACTATAATATTCACTACCTGGGTGAACTTAGGCAAGCCATTTCACTTATTTGACTTTTAGTTTTCTCATTCATAAAATGAGAATATGAGACTTGATGACTTTCTAAGGTTCTTTCCAATGCTGAAGTTCTATAATTTTATGAATCTTATCAAAGCAGAAGCTAGGAATTTCAGGACTTGGGGCAAATTTCATTGAGTGGATGATGTTGTTGTGCATGACTGAGATAGACCAGATATAGAGGACATGGACATTTAAGAGACTGAGTAACTGAGGAGTCCTAGAGTATCTAAAGGGAGAAGGGGTTGGAATAATAGGGAAAGACTAAGAACCAAGTACTAAAGTTCCTGGGGAGGTAGGAGAATATGGACTAAGTAGTCAATAAATGATAGCAATAAAAAATATGGACAGGCTGAAATAAACTTAAAGGGAGGGGAAGTCATTGTTGAGATTTTTTTGTTTTTTGTATTTTTTTTGGCAGAGGGAGTGTCTGACAAGAAGTATGCTCAGTGTGGATATGAGAGTAGGAGCATTTATTAAGCATTACCATGCATAAAACACTGGTGTAGAATCTCCAGATGGCCTTGAGAGCACTGAAGTTATGGGATTCTGGCTATGGAATTCATTGAACCAGTCATGGAGACATACAAATTAGTAGATCTGGGGGTTACCAAATTTGCCATTTTTGGGAGAAGGTAGAAATTTCATGTCATCAATTTTGCTTTGTTTTAATAAATTTTGCTTTGGAATTGAATCTTCTTTGATTTTGCTTTGATATTAATATCAATATACCTTGTCTTGCATTAATTTCAAATTCTGTTTGAGTAAGTTTCTATTCTCTGCTTTTTAATGGTATTTTATCTGTATTTTTATGATGTGCCTTCAATTTGCATTTCATCTATCTGGGTTTTTATAGCTAATTCTAGAATTTTTAAGAGCCTGTCAGGCCTTTTTGGTGAAATGAGGTTCAGAGAGGCAATGTACAGGCTTTTGGTTTACCTATCATTAAGAATCATAAATATCAATAAGAATATTAATAGTAAATAATAAAACAAGTAATAAAACAAGTAATAAAATAATAAAATAAGTAATAAAAACAAACTTCAAGCTTAGTTTTATGTTACAATTTACTTCTCATGCACTAATGTCTAGCACATTGCTCTGTGTGAGTAGGTATTCAATTAATGTTGAATTTATTTTTTTCTGTAAAAACTGGTCTTTACATTATCTCCTTGATGTTTCCCTTGATGTAGCCATGTTCTTATTTCAATTTTCACTTTCCATTTGTTTCTACATAGGGTAGATATAAGGATTAGAATGGCTACAGAGGATAGTGGAAGAAAGAGGAAAAATAAATTATTTGATAAGGCTGGAGAGGGGAATCTATGTACAAATATTTGTTAATGTCATCTTTGCTTTTCAGGCATGTAGTCCCCGAGAGCAGGGGGGAAGAAGCAAAAGGGAAGGACCGGTGTTGGTATGAGACAGCTCTTCAAGATGGCAACCCAATTATAATTTATCTCCATGGTAGTGCAGAAAACAGGTCAGTATCCTGCCCTTAGATAACATTTTTAAAAATAATTTCAGCCCTGGGAAAAGTAAGAGGCTACTTTTGTTTTAGCTTGGGTTCACTTTAAACTCTGTAAGCATATCCTGTCATGCTACTTTTTCCTGTTGAAATCTGAACTCATGGGACATTATTGCATTTTAAGGAAGAGAACAGGGAAAAGGCATGGATATGGGAGAATTAGTTCTTACTGTATGCAAGGAACACAGAAAGGGCCAGTTTGTCTGGATTGCAAAGTAGTATTTTGTTTTAAATTTGGGGGTTATTTTACAGAGTGGGTCCATATTTGAAGGGCTGATCCTAATCTTCAGAGGATATAATTTATATGAAATGAATGAACATAATAAATTTTCAAGTCAACAAACACTGAGTATCTGTACTATATAGAATGCTAGAAGTCAGTAACACAAAATAAAGTTTGAGGCTTGCTGTATTATTCCTTTTTAAATTAATTCTTTTTTACCTTCAGGGCAAATTCTCTCCTTACCGCCCCCTTCCTGACCCATTGAGAAGACAAGAAATAGAATACCTATTATATATATTCTGTCACATGAAAGTTATAATGAATAATCTGATGACAAAAGGGCAATCTAATATTATAAATTGATTTGTCCATATAGTTCAAAATTCTCATTTAAAAAATCTCTTCTACAGGGCATCTCATCACAGAATCAAGCTTTTGAAGGTATGTTTGGGTAAGCCTCAGGCCACTCATTTGAGAAGTCTTTCTTTTTCTGGGCTACAAATGCTGCCTCCCCCAAATATCCAATTCAGGGACTGGTAACTTCAGAATGATAATCTATATGACTACTTATCTTTCCAGGGCCATTGGAGCACAGATCTATGCCCAAGACATGGATGTGGTTTGAAGCAATGTTACTATTTTTCATTCTCTTTGGAATAAAATAGATGTGTGTGTGTGTGTGTGTGTGTGTGTGTGTGTGTGTGTGTGTTACAAACTATGAGAGTTAAGTTTCAGCTTAGGGTCACAGAAGAATTCCATGAGTTAGTTCACAATCATTTGGGTCCCTTTTGGCAAGATGGAAAAGACATGAATTTTATTTGGTTTCATTGAGTGTTGGAAAGAAGAAGATGGTGTGTGAGAATATGTGTAATTTTCCACATTTCTATAAATGAGACCCTTTGAATTGTATTCAGTCAGGCATTGGTCTCAGCTTCATTATGCTTCAGGAGGTTAAAGTGATGACATCATCTTTTTCCTGTTTCCTAATATTCAAGTTAATCTCAGCTGTTGGGAAATCCCCTAGTTTTATCCAAGTTTAAAAGTATGTTAGGCTTCTGGTTCATCAGCATCTGACACATAGCTAGGTGGATAGGTTGAGTTAGATATCTAACTTCTCCCACCTTCTAGTTGGGCAATCTATTTATAGAGTTCAGTAACTGATTTTTCTACTCACATTTATTTTTATTTGGTCTAGGAAAAAAAATCCATTGGGTGAATAAGCTGCTTTCCAGAACACAAACAATAGGATCAATTATTTATTATTAACTGAAACTAGGATTTTTAAAATTAGTTAGACATAGAAGTAGGACACCAGGCTTACTTTTTTATATATGAGAAACACAAAAACCTGAGAGGGTAAAGATTTTTTTCAGAGTTGTGGATCGATTAATGTAAGAACTACAATTAACACAGCTCTTAGGTCACTACATTAGATGCAACTCTTTACCATCTCACAATTCAGCCAAATTTCTCCTCTCTTTCGTCTCTAAAGGGCAGTTTAGATGAGGTACCTGATAGTGTGCCATTTAAAAAATGGTTAAGATTTTTCTTAAAATTCTCATCCTTGTGGTATTTATAAGTTTTAAAGCAGTACCATTTTAAGATTAGGGAAAGAGAAGAAGTGTCATGAGTCTGAAAATACCACTTGCTTACAAACAATTCACAAGGTTCCTTTTGGGAAAGTGTTTAGAAAGCCTGGTTGAAAAGCTGATCTATTTCTAGAATTACATGGTTACTTTTGGAGAGAGATTTCAGAACTATGATGTGAGGCCCTTTAAATTCTGGATCTGCTACTTACTATCTTTGTGACCTGGACAAGTCACTTAGCTTCTCTGTGCCTCATCTTCTTCACCATAGGATGAGTAGGACTTTAAAGTTTCCTTCTACTCAGAATCTAATACTGTGAAAATCAAAATGCAAATATTTGAAGACATCAACACATGTCTATTTCACTGCTACAACTAGAGATACAAAATCCTGTTTAACATATCAACCAGGAGTGGTGATGTACCTGGGTTTTTCTATCCAAGTGTTTGAGTTTGAAGGTAATAGTTTGTATCTCACCAAGGTGCTGAGTGAAGGTGGATTCCATGTTCTGGCTATGGATTACAGAGGTAATATGTTAAGAGTTATGTACACAGATTTTTTTTTTACTGCTGTACTTTTTTATTATATTTGTGAAGTGGTGACCTTGGACATGCTTTTTGATTGCAGGATTTGGGGATTCTACAGGTAAGCCCACAGAAGAGGGCCTGACCAGGGATACCATTTATCTCTATGATTGGACCAAAGCACGAAGTGGAACTACACCAGTCTGTCTCTGGGGTCATTCTCTAGGAACAGGGTAAGTGAAGTAAGCAAGTGCTTCATCTTCATTCCACCAGAATTGTTCTGTTATACAGTGAAAAGAGGCAATGTGGGATTTGTGTGTAGTGTAAAGAACAATAGATTGAGAATCAGACCAGAGTCCTAATTTCCACTCTCCCCTTAGCTTGCTATTTGACCTCCAGAAATTCACCTAACATTCTGGACCTTCAGTTTCCTTGACTGTAAAACTAGTTGTTAGGCTAGTCTTTGCCACTGGAAGTATTTAAGAAGAGGCTAGATGTCAGGCGCATTGCAGAGAGCAAACTATAAGCTCATGCCTACTCAGCTAAGGGTTGTACTAACCATGTTGGACTAATCCACTGAAAGTCCCTTCCAACTCTAAGATTCTGTAATAGGTTCTACAACTAGACAATTTATACATTTTTTTCCATACCTGTGATCTATTACTATAAAGGCTTCTTCAGAACTCTTTTTGGAAAATTATCCTCTCAATTCCAAGAAAACAAGGGCTATGCTGTTGAAGTTGTGTTAGAATCTAACATTCAACCGGAGAAAACTACTCCCCCAGGTTTAACTCTTATATCTTCTTATTTGATTTAAGTTCAATTATTGTACATTGTAAAGTATTTGATTAAAATCAATTTGTTATACATTAATTTCCTCTTAGCATGTATTGAACAGAGACATTTTTAACAGTTGTCATTTTTTAAAAATCACAATCTTGGTTTTGCTGAGTACTTTTTAAGTATTTAATTTCTACCATGCCTAAGAAAATTAAGATGCCAGTTGTAGAAAAAGCAATGGATTTGTGTCTAAATTCCAGCTCTACTATATACTACTGTACGAACATGGTCAAGTTATTTTCTCCCCTGTAAAATGAGGATAATAATACATATAATACCTCCTTTATAAGGTCATTCTGAAAATGAAGTAATGTAGATAAAACAAATTGATGTGGAACACTATATGTAGTTACAATATAATGTATATTAGTATTTATTGTTATCAGAATGTATTTAAGATTACATAACAGAGGTAAAAGCATTTATTTGAAGTGGAATATGGTTAAGTACAAATGTAGTAAGAAGACAAAGCAATAAGCATTTATTGAGCACCTACTATGGGCTAGGCACCAAGTTAACTGCTAGGAATACAAAGACAAAAGTGAAAATCCCCTGTCCTCTGGGAGCTTACTTTGATGGAGGATCCAACATGTGTGAATATAGGTACATACAAGGCACATATGAATAAAAAATAAGGTAACCTTTGAGGAGAAGTAGCAGTAGCTATAGGGGATGAGGAAAGGACTCCTGTAGTAAGTGGCACTTGAGCTGAGTCTTGAAAAAATACTATATTCCATGAGGTGGCAGTGAGGAGGAAGATCATTCCAGACATAGAGAATAGCTAGTACCAATAGACAGGGAGTGATTAATGATTAGAGAAAGAAAAAAGGTGATTGTGGGACAACCTCCCAAAGAATATGGATTATCATTTTTGTTCAGTCATGTCTGACTCTTTATGAACCTGTTGGGGTTTTCTTGGTAGAGATAGCAGAGTGGCTTGCCATTTCTTTCTCCAGCTCATTTTATAGATGAGGAAATTGAGGAAAACAGGATTAAGTGATTGCCCAGGGTCATTCAACTAGTAAGTGTCTGAACGCAGATTTAAGCTCAGGGAAATGAGTCTTCCTGACTCCAGGCCTGGTACTCAATCCATTACACCACCTGGCTGCCCCAAAGAATATGGGAGGAGATGGGAATTAAGTAGACATATAGAGGGGTTGGTGTTGGTGATGAGAAGAGCTACCTCTTCATCAGATAAATTAGTGGAGGATCAACTCAAGGGGTTATAGGATTCTCATCTTATATCTCATATTGCAGCCTAATGAGAATAATTATGTCCGCAGCTTAGAGGGAAGAAGCACTGTGGGAAATAGGATAGAAAATCTATTTAGGGGTAAAAAGCTTGCCTTCCTGAAGTGAGGACTCAATTGAGATTAGATATCATAAATTTGTAGTGGACTGAGTTAGCTTGCTAGCATGACTTCATCTTGCTTTATTTATCAGCATGCAAGCAGAAACAGAGGATGCAGATGGTAGGAGTAATCCAGGGTTGAGGGGTAACAAGTTGTAAGGGGTGTTAGGACAAGGGAAAAAGGAATTTGAGAGTATACAATGTCATAGATTTAAAATGGCTCACTAAGGGGTCAAAATTACAAGGATGGTAAGAATTATCTAGGATGGAAATTTGGCAAGGTTAAGGGGGTTCTAGGACAAGAGAACAAGAGGTTTGAGAGTAGAAGATGTCATAGAACCATAGAAATGGTTCACTAAAGGGTCAAAATTGGCAAGGAGAGGAGAGTGTAGTTAGAGCAGGGATAAAGGGTTGGAAAGGAGCTGAGAGGTAAAGTGAACAAGAAAGAAGAATAGATTTAGGAGAAATAAGGCATAGAGAGATGGAATGATGGAAGAATGTAAACAGACAAAGGAACCTATAATGTCTTGATCATGGAAGTGGACTTGTGGGTGAAGGATCAGGATCAAGATCAAGATCTAGATCAGAAGTGTGGTCATCTTTGTAGCTAAGGTGGAGTAGAGAAATTGAGTAGACTGAGGGACAGGAAAGTTAGTGTATTTGAGGGAAAAACAGTATGTATGTTGATGTACTCCAGTATGATGGAAGGAGTTAGAGTAGAGATGAAGATTCTGGGTCAAGCAGTGAACTCTTTGAGAAAGGGAGGAGTTTGTCTGGGAGGTTGGTAGACAACAGGAACCAAGAAAAATGTTGATGGAAATACTCTGCTGGAGTATTTATGACTTCTGCTGGATCCCCAGAATAATGGTTTGATAATTTATTGTGGTCATTAATATTGAGTTCCTAAAACTGATTTTATATTTGTATTCTGTTTAATTCTTTTGAATGTTCTATTGTTTATATACTTTTTTTTAATAGAGTTGCAACAAATGCTGCAAAAACACTGGAAGAAAGAGGTAATTTAAAAGTGGGTTAAAACTATTGTTTTAGATGAATAAAAATTTAAAAACAGAGGCCTATTGATTACAACTTACAATTACAAACTCAAATTACGAAATACTTGTTATGAATACAAGCAATAGATATTTGAATTGTCCAAGCCAGAGATAGAAAAAGTTTGAGTTTTAATTTTCTTTTATAATTGATATAAAGCAACAGCTGCTGCCCTAATATAAGAAATTCAGGAAGGATTTTTAGGTAAATAATTCAATTATTTTAGAAAAGGCATTCTTTGGAAAGCACTAGTTTCTTTAAAAAAGTAATGAAAACAGGCAAGACTTGACTTCTGTTGTCCTTCCTAACAAAAGACTCTAACCTTCATCTGATTAGGCAGAAGCAATAAAACATTTTCAAACAAACTATCCATCATTTTTTCTATAAAACAGTCATTAATCAAGTAATTTAGGTGAAATTGAGGCATTTTTCTTATTTAGATACCTAAATGAAAACCTCAATTAATCCTTTTCCTTTTCTTTTTGTATATGTACTTCACTTTTAGGATAAGCAAATTATAAGAAAATGGTCTTTTATCAGGGTTAAAATTTTTTTGATTAATATGCATTCAATATAATCTATGCCTTCTATACTTAATACTTTCTACAATAAAAAATTACACATCATACAAGTGCATGCAAAATTTACAATGAATATTTTTGATTGATAGGTTGTATGTAATGATGTGGGTTACAAGATTCTCCATCACTGAAGGATTAGACTTAATTATGCTTATGATTCTCTACTGAGGAAGGATGGGATATGGGTTAATACATAAGAAAAAAATTTAACAGTGTGTTGACGTAAAAGCAGCTCTCTAGCTAATCGCGTATTAATTAAAAATTCTATCAATCATAACTCTATTATTAATCTCAATTAATCCCATTTCCTGATCATGTTGATTAAGGAAATTTTAGCTGTAATTGTAGCTACATGGATGTAGCCCTCCTTGAAGAATGTCCAAAGTAATTTCTCACATAAATTCTTTGGGTAGCATGGTCATCATATTAGCATGATATTGCACAGGACATAGCTTTTTGGTAAAGGCATATTTGAAAATTTTATTGATCTTTGGAGAAGCAGATTAACAAAGAGGAAAAGTTTGGAACTGGAGGAAGTATGGTTCATTGTAAATAACATTGTACTGATATTTAGGAGACATGGGAAATCACTTCATTTCTTTGGGCAATCTAATGAAACCTATGGATCCCTTCTCAGGATCATGATTTTAATATGTAAAATAATTTTATACAGGATTACAAAGGAAACAAATTATATGGAAATACAGTTATCAAAATATTTAAGAAAAAAAGTTCACGTATCCTAAGAACCCATAAATTAAAAAGAAAAATTCCATAAATTAAAAATAAAATACATTTTAAAAAAGAACCCCTGTACTAGATGATCACTAAGCTGCCTTCCAGTTCTATTTTCTAAATCCTTGACTTCAGACTTATGGTTCATGCTTTATAGTGAGATTCCCCCCCTCCCCAGCCCCACTCCTTTGCTGTAATAAAGTCGTTTAGAACATAGTAGCCTGGGGCTGCTGGAGAAGAAGAGAAGATTTAGTTAGGAAATAGCACGATGGATTTTGATTGGGACTAGCATTTTAGATGTGTAACTGCTTTCTTTTTTGATCACAAAAGGATTCCCAGTGGATGCAATTGTCCTAGAAGCTCCATTTACCAACATTCGTGATGAGGCTGCTAATTATCCCATATTAAAGGTAAGGAATAAAATTCATTTTCATATCTGTATTAAAGTATTAGAAATTAGAGTTCTTCAACAGTCTAATCATTGGTCTTTTTGAGGCTAGACACCTTATTAATTGTGAATTTTTCTGGAATTCAGTAGTGAAACTGAAATAAATTTGTGATGTCTTGAATTTTGGCTTTGGTAATCTCTTTCTAAAGCACTAGGAGTATTAGTTTCAGAGTTTCTATCCAGTCTGTGAGATCTTAGTGTTGCTTATGTCTACCTAATTTTGACACGCAGTAAAAAGGAAACCATTTGCCATGTTAAGTAACAGAATTAACCATAAACAAAAATGGGAGAAAATAAAAGATTTCTGCAAGATGAATATTCAACAAGCTTGAATTCTTTGTCTTTCAATTTTTAATCTTATTTTTAACTAACACATCTATAGATGTTAGGTATTTAAATTTGCAGGTCAGAATTTTTTCCCTTAATAGGAAAACAAACCTCATATTTATCTAAATGAATAGACCTCTGTATAGATAAGTCCAGGAACAGCTCTTTCATTTCCATTTTGCATTTATTAAAGACATATCCTAAATTCTAAATCTATTTGGAAATATTGAAGGAGGTTATACACACTTTTGATAAGGTTCTAGATAGAATCAGCCAGTTCATACTATGAAAGAGAGAAAGTGAAAACAGAGAGACATTGTAACTTCAGAGGACAGATGATGAAGCATACCTCTTGCCTTTTAGAAGGGAGGGCATGGACATTCATTTTTAGACATGGGCAATACTTGTTTGTTTGATTGTATTTGTTCCATGTAAAGATTTGATTTGGGGAACCTCTGGCAAGCCATTGGAAAGTGGCAATTATGTGAAAAAAGAACAATTAAATGTTTTTTGTTTGTTTTTGTTTTTTATAAAATGAAGCCAGTTTACCTGGCATTTTTTTAACTGACATATTTTGTCATATCTTGTACTGTGATGATAATTGATGTTTGTTATGACTTAAAGTCACTATAAGATCTTAAAATCATTTTCTATTCAAAGATTAAATTACACTATTTGGTTTATATTTTTTAAAAAAATTATGATTCCTTGAGAATTGATCATCTATCTATGATGCCTGTTAACCACAATAATACTTGAATAACCAGAATTCCCTGTTCTTTAACTTTTGGCTAAGAATATTTGTGGGAGAAATATAGCATTGCTATTTAAGAGTAGGTTCTTCAAATCATCATAGTTCAAAAAGGGGAAATAAAATAATGAAATTTCTGTCATAGAAAACATTAATTCTTCTTCTCTTAAAACAGATGTACCATAAACTCCCAGGATTTGTACGTTTGTTTCTGGATGCACTGACAGTAGACAAAATTGTCTTCCCTAATGATGAGAAGTAAGACTAATACATTTTCTTCATTTCTATACCTGCTATAGTGTTTTTTGAAGTAAGTTTTTAGTAATGTCTTTTTCTTATATCATTATTCTTTTCCTTTTAATTTCAAATTGCTTTGCAAAATGATTTTACAATTCATAACTCCACCAACACTACCCTAGTGTGCCTATTATACCACAACTCCTCCAACATTGACTATTGCCATTTTTTGTTATCTTTGTAATTTTGCAGGACATTTTCCCTCCTCAGGAACCATCTCATAAAAATAGTAGTTTTTAATTACAAAATTTTTTAAAAAGAAAAAAAGAATAAAAAATCAGAACAGCTAATTTAATTATCGAAAAAGTCTTGAAAATATGTGCATTGGGCAATATTGTGGACCTCTTACCTTCTTGAATGGGTGGGTTCAGAGTGTCCTCTCTTATCTCTTGGCTCTTGCTTTAATTTTATAATTTTGCAATATTTGCATTTGATTTTTTGTGTAAGATTGTTCTTTGTATTTATGTTGTTGTAGTCACTGGGCATATTATTTTCTTGGCTCTGATTACTCAATTATATCAGTTTATGCAGATTTTTCCATGTTTCTCTGTATTTATCACATACAAAATTTCTTGCAGCTCAGTAGTATTCTGTTACATTTATATACCATAATATGCTTAGTTTTTCCCCCAATTGATAGTCATGTGCTTCATTGTCAAATTTTTGCTATCACAAAAATATATGCAATAATGTATTGTTGTATATGGATGCTTCTCATCAATGGCTTTGTTGGTGTATAAAACTCTAGGTCAAAGGGTATAGACATTTTAGCTATTTTATATGATTTCAAATTGCTTTGCAAAGTGATTTACAATTCATAACTCCACCAACAATGCACCAGTGTGCCTATTATACCACAACCCCTCCAACATTGACTATTGCCATTTTTGTTATCTTTGTTATTTTGCAGGACATGAAATTAAACCTCAGGGTTGTTTTGATTTGAATTTTTCTTATTAGAGCTTCAGAGAATTCTTTCATGTGGCTGTTAATTTTTATAATTCTTATTTTGAGAATTTCATAGTCTTTGTTCACAGTCTTTGACCACTTATGTATTAGGAACTGACTATTAGTGATATACATACACATATATACATATATGCATATATATTCATTGTGTCTATATCTTAGATACCAAAAGCTTTTTAGAGAAATGTTATGCAAGATTTTTTTCCCCATTCAATCACTTTCCTTTCTTATCCTAGGTACATTAATTTTGCATGTGCAGAAGATTTTCAGTTTCATATAATCAAAGTTATCTATTTTATCTATTATAATTACCTCTGCCCCTTCTTTAATAAAGAATAAATCTCTTACTCATAGCTGTAAGAGGGATAGGATATGCTTTTCTTCTTCTTATTTTTTATTATATGACCTGTAACAATATCATATATATTTGGATCATATTGTGGAATATGATGTAAAGTGTTGATCTAAATTTCTGCCAGACTGCTTTCTATCCTGCTGTACTGTTAGGGAATAAATGATAGTATGGATTACTTGACTGAAAGATGAGAATTCTGAAGCCTATTTGTGAAAAATCAAGTCAATAAACATTTATTATGCACCTTATATATGCTTGACACCATATTATGTGCAGTAAGATTTGAAATCACTCTGGTATAATTTAAGATCCTTGAGGCTATGGATTGTTTCACTGAAATATAAACTTTGAACTCAAAGACAAAAAAAAATCACTTCCATATAAATAACATAACACCAAATAAGAACTGTATATAAAACAGCAAATCTCTATTTCATATCCTTTATTTTTAAGGAAAGTATATTTCTACATTACTTTTAAAACTATTCTGATCACCTGTACTTTCTTCTGTTCTTTTCTCTGCATTTAAAAGTGTTTTAATGACCCTCTTTATTTATTTTTTTTGGTATTGCTACCCATCCCTTTCTCTACCCTCACTAAATTAAAAATCAAGAGAAAGGTGACAAAATGTAACAATTAAGCATAGTCAAGCAAAAATAAATCTACATATTGCTCGTGTATAAAAATTTTTCTGTTTTGTTATGCCTTGAGTCCATTAGATCTCAGTTAACAAGACAGTACCATGCTTCATCATTGGTCCTATAGAGACATTGTTGATCATTGCTTTGATCAGAGTTCTTAAGCCTTTCAAAGTTTTTTTTTTCTCCTTCAAAATGTTGGCGTCCTTGTATAAACTGTTCTGGTTCTACTTACTTTACTCTGCATTAGTTCATATAATCTGGTATACTCTAAAATAGTCATTATCATTCCATATAAAGCAATAATATTCTATTACATTCATATGCTACAATTTGTTAAGCTGTTCCCCAACTGATGAGCAACTTATTAGATTCTAGCTCTTTATTTTCCCCCTTTAATCAGAATCCCGAAGTTTGTTGTGCTTGTGATTATTCTCATTCAGTATTATCCATCTTCTTAATCCATGCTTTTTTCACTTTTGGATTTGATGTATTTCTTTACTAAATTATGTGTTTGTTCAACCCTCCTATGTCCATTAAAGAGAAGAGTGAGGTCCATTTGATACCCAAGCCCCTTCCTCCGTGTTTTTATAGTCTTCTCACATACCCTACTTATGAAAATTAGCAACTCTCTTCTTCCTCCTTTCTATACTAGTGTATTTCTTTTACTCTTCCTTATCTCTCCCCTTTTAAAACCCTTAGAATAGAACCAATCCACTCTCAGGTCCATTCTTTTTTTCTCTTTTCTTTTCTTTTCTTTTTTCTTTTCTTTTCTTTTCTTTTCTTTTCTTTTCTTTTCTTTTCTTTTCTTTTTTTCTTTTCTTTTCTTTTCTTTTCTTTTCTTTTCTTTTCTTTCCTTTTTCTTTGAAATCCCTCAATATCCTTTGAAGTCTTTAAAGGTCTGGAAGGCACACTTTTTTCTTTTCTTTCATTAGAGTATTAGTACTACATCATCAAATAGCCCCTTCCATCTGCACAGATTAATGTACTTTTCTAGGTTTCTCTTGATGCTTATCTTTGAATTCCATAGTTCCTTCTCAGCTCTGGTCTTTTCCTCAGAAATGTTTGAATATGTTCTATTTCCTCTCCACTATCTCCCATAGGAGACTAAGCTTAACAGGGTATGTTACTTTTGATTGTAAGCCTGTATCTTTTGCCTTGTGGAATGCTATATTCCAAGATCTCTCATTTGTAGTAGAAGTTGCCACGTCTTCTATGTTCCTTTAGTATTTAAACTACTTCTTTCTAGATGCTTGCAGTATTCTTGTTTTGATATGTAAGATTAGACTTTTGGTTATGAAATCTGAGACTTTATCTTTTATTTTTAGGAGGTGATGGGTGGATTCTATCTTCTAATTTTTTGCTGATGTTCAGTCATTTCAGTTGTGTCTGACTCTTTGTGACCAGATTTGGGGTTTTGTTGGCAAAGATATTGGAGTGGTTTGCCATTTCCTTCTCCAGCTCATTTTATAGATGAGGAAACTGAGGCAAAAGGGTTAAGTTATTGCTCACGGTAACACAGTAAGTGTCTGAGGCCAGATTTGAATTTAGGTTTTCCTGACTCCAGTCCTTGTTTTCTATCCACTGTATCACCTTGCTGCTTCTGTCTTCTAATATCTGAGATCTGAGTCAGTTTCATTTACATTTTCTTGGAATATACTGTCCAGTTCTTAAAATTATTATTCCAATGACTCTTAAATGATCTCTTCTTGACCTGTTTTTCATCTTAGTTGCCCTAGTTAGACCTCATCAGGGGTATTGTATTCAGCTCTGTGCATTATAAAAACTATATTAGAATGGACACTGATATGTTAGAGGGCTTCCTGTGAAGGGCAACCAGAAAGGTAAAGAGGCTTGAGATCATACTGCACGAGCATCAATTAGAAATGTTTAGTCAAGAGAAAGGTACACCTAAGGGCAACATGATAGCAGTATTTGAAGGGCTATCATTTGGAAGAGGGATTACAATTGTTTTGGTTGGGCACAGATGGTAGAGTGAGGAGTAATGGGTAGAAGTTGTAAAATGGAAGATTCAGACTTGAATTAAGAAAAACTTCCTGAGAATTAGAACTATCCAAAAGTAAAAAGGAGGTACATGGGGGACCCTTTTCCCAATGTAGATTGAATTAGATGGCCTCAGAGGTGCCTTCCAACTCTGAGATTTTATCTCTGTTTGCTCATGATTAGCATAGGCAAAAGGATCACTAGAAAGAAAATTGTAGTTTTCCACTAGCATTTATTGCAGAAGATATTGAAGGACAGAGATTCTATGAAGAACTTGATTTTGGATCTAGTTCCAAAGCAAATCATCATATACTTTGATTCTTCATTACAAAAAGCCCATGGTCGGGGGGCGGGGAGAGAAGGACATTAAAAGACTTGGAAAACAGTACTGATTTAAGAAATGAAACAAATTTGTAGATTGCTCAGTATCCTTTTACACGTATACAATGAAAATTTTGTCAGTTAGATATTTGTAAGTTACCAAGCATGATGAAATATCATCACAAGAAATATCACCTATATCTTAGTAGAAATGGACTTGTTACTAAATGGGCGATCATTTTATGATAAACTGTTTATGTCAAATCAGATAAAAAATTGGAGATAATGCATTCAGTTATAAGAGCTTCGGTAAGTCCTGTTTAAAGAAGATGATGTGTGAAAAATTGGTAACATAAAAATAAAGACAGTGACTCTGATTATTGCTATTTTAAGAACAATCGCTATATAGCAAGAAAGTCTAATGAACATGGAAGCTGCTTCAACAATTCTTGATCTTTAACAAACTCTTGATCTCCTTGCCGAGGAGTCACATAAGCCAAAGAAAGCAATAATTTAGGATACAAGCTTATTTGCTATATAATATAGAATAAGAAGCTTAAAAATCACACAATTTCACCTCAGAAATCAACGGAGGGCAAAGTGAATTTTCAGAATGCTTGACATAACACCCAAATCAGTGAAATCATCTGAAAAGCATTTGTAAATGAGAGAGGAATAGATATGCTAACATTTCTGTAGCTATCTATTCTTATCCTCAGTACAATGTATGAGGAAGTAGCACTGCAGAAGAACTTGGGAAGAGTGGATGGATTTGAACCAATGCATAAAAAGCCATGTCAGATGTGACACAACTTTTAATGTTACTCAAAGAATGATTTTCAACATGTCTTAAAAAGAAGAAGATTCCAAGAGAATGAAAAACAGTACAGGTAACATCATTTAAAATAAAAAGGCAACTATAAAAACAAGCAAAATTTGACCCATATGTCTTCTTGTTATATGCATAAAATCATTAGGAGCCTGGACTATGCATTTATTGGAGTATCTTGTATCTTCTACAGCAGACTATATCTGTAGTCACACAACTGAGCAGGGCAAAGAGAATACAAAATCCTATTGTGTTCATTGTCCCTCATCAAAAGAAGTCTTTTTATTTTTTACAGCATGAGCAGTCTTGAAGTCTCTCTTCCAATGGAATCTTCCTTGAATTCTTTAATTTTTTGATAGATGAATGAAAAGAGAAAATTTGGTTCAATGGCCCTGTATTAAGTAAGGCAAAAACTAGAAGATGTGATTATGAAATGGTGTTCATCATTGATTGGGCATAAAGTCCAGATGGAAGAAAGATAAAAGAATTAGTTTGCAAGAGCAAAAATCCTTATATAGTTCTTTAGCTTAACGTATTTTTTCTCCTTCTCTCCTAGTGTTAAGTTCTTATCCTCACCTCTTCTGATCTTACATGCAGAGGATGACAAGACTGTGCCTTTAGAAATAGGCCAAAAGGTAATTATTATTTTAAAGTTATACTTCAGTAAATGCTTTGAATAAAATTAATAACATATCTTGCTATTCTCTCATTTAGTCTGTATTCACTTAAAGAATTACTTTGTTTTACAGCATAAATGGGAGTTTATGATATTTTAGGAGGTGTCAGTGTATTAATTTTTCTCTCTCCCTGATTGTGGATAGAGGTGATGATTGTAATGCATTAGAGAAACGCATGGTGGATATAAATATATTGTAGCATATTTCCACTGATGACTTGTGTACAAGTGGTGACATTGAAAACATCATCAAATAAATATGAGAAAAAAATAGGAGCCTAAAAATTACTGCTAACAATTATGAAATCTCAGGCAAGAAATTGAAAATCATAGGGGCACAGGCTGCATTTTCTTAACTGTTGCTCACTGAAGGTAAAGATACAAAAAAGAAAAATGAATTTGGGAAACAGCTACTTGATTAAGAAGGTGTTGTCTGCGAATGGGATTTGTATTTCTGGATCATGATTTATAATACAAGGATGACTGATTTTTTTTGTCAGAGTTGGAGAAATTCTGGTTAAGTATATATTTAAATGTTAAGAAAATATTTGCCGGTTGTCTTGAAAATCTAATCAAAAGGGTTTTAAATTATAAATAAATAATGTGGGGGACAGAAAACTAAGTATATCACCTAAATTAAATACTACAAAAATTAGCTACAAAGAAAAAAGAAAAGAAGGGAAGATACCCCTCCCCCCCAAGTAACAGAATACAAAGTCTAAAAAAAGTATCAGCAGTAAAATCTATAGCCTCAAATATATATACATAAATGCCTTACATTAGGCAAACAAACAAAGAGGAACTATTTTCTGGAGAAGATAAAGGCTATTCACGCTAATAATTTCATTCAGAAAGTAATCTATTGCAAATTTAATGGCTACAACAAGATCCAAAGAGCTTGGAAAGTTCCTTGATCAGCAAACATCTGATAGCAAACAGAAAAAAAATGACAGGTTAGATTATGAACTTGCCTGTAAAATCTTATTAAAAAAGTATGATAGTAAGTTATTATAAATATCACCTCATAAAGCAGAGGGATTGGAAGGTAAAACTAGTTTAAAGAAAGCTTGCCAATGTGTCCAACCAAGCAAAGTCATCCCTAAGAGAAGAATGGAAAAATAAAGCCTACAAACAAAAGAAAAATGGAAAAGATTTACAAAAATCATTGGAACACACATTAAAAAAAACCAAATATGCTGAACTCTTCAAGTTCTTATAGAGGAGGTAAAAATGGGAATAAGATGGAACAAAGATGGGGAAAGCAGCTAGACTGGACCAAGTATACATGGGGGATATTCATTCTGGAGGCATTACAACTGTGAGAGCATGGAGAGATTGATATACAAAGTGTCTCAGGAAGGAGAAGATACCAAAGGCATAGGGAAAACATCTTTGACATTCTTAATAATGAAAAAAGGCAATCAAGAGAAAATCAGTAACTACTAACATATATGCCTACTCTCCTGAGTATATAATTTCTTTATGAGTAACCCATTCGCCAATTGAAGACATCCTTGATAATGGTATAGCTTTATACCTTTAGCTCTTTAATTAACTACAAGCATAATATGAAAGCATAGTTCAGTCATTCTGAAGAGACATATTTGAGAGATGTTACAAAGGTGAAAGCAACAGGCCTTGGCAACAGATTGTCTATGGGTGGCAAGGGAGAGTGAGGACTGAGATGGAGCATAGTTTGTGAACCAGGGAATTAGAAGGATAGTGATGTCCTTTACCATAATAGGGAAGTTGGGAAGGGGGTAGAGGGTTTAAGTTGAAATATAATGAGTTCTATTTTGCATGTTATGTTTAGGATGGCTACAGGTATCCATTACAGGATTCTCATAGGTAGTTGAAGATACAAGACTGAAGGTCAGCAGAGAGGTTAGGCCTGGGTAAGCAAATGTGGGAAACATCAGCATGGAGGTGATAATTGCATCCATAAGAACTGATGGAATCACCAAGTGAATATAGTATTCAGGGAGAAGGGAAGGGAAGAAAGTGTAGGACACAGCCTTTTGAGATACCCATAGTTAACAGGCTGGATGAAGATTCTGCAAAGGAGACTGAAAAGGATCAGTCAGATCCTTTTGGTAAGAAGAGAACCATGAGAAAGAAGTGTCCCAAAAACTTAAGAGGGAAGAGAATATCAAGGAGAAGAATTTGATTGACAGTGTCAAAAGCGGCAGAAAGGTCAAGAAGGATAAAGATTGAGAAAAAGGCCATTGGATTTGGAAATTAGGAGATATTGGCAACTTTTGGAGAAAAATAGTCTCAGTTGAATGACAGTTTGGAAGCCAGAATATAGAGAGTTATGAAGAGAGTGAGAGTAGAGGGAGTGGAAATGCCTATTATAGATGGCCTTCTAAAGGAGTTTAGCCAAAAATGCATGAGTAACAAGATGAAAAATCAAATGAAGGCTTTGTGAAGATGAGGGAGACATGGGCATATTGGTAGGAAGGAGAGGAAACAAGCATTTAGATAGCACCTACTATGAACCAGGTACTGTGCTAAGTGCTTTTACAAATATTAACTCATTTTTATTCTCACAACAACCTTGCAAGATAGGTACTGTTATTAGTTCCATTTTACAAAAACTGAGGCAGGTGGGTTAAGTGACTTGCCTAGAGATAGTAAATATCTGAGACTGGGTTTGAACTCAGGTCTTACTGACTCCAGGCCCAACACACATTGTGCTATCTAGCTATCTCCTTTGTAGGCATTAAGGAAGCAGCCAGTTAGGGAGAATTTGAAGATAAGTGAGAGAGTGGAATGATAGAGAGGGTAATCTATTGGAAGAGGTGGGATGGAATGGGATTAATTATACATGTAAAGGAGTTTGCCTTGGCAAAAAGAAGCACAACTTCATAATTTGAGATAGAGATGAAGGAGGAAATAGTGGCAGAAGGCATCTGGGTGATATGAATTAAAGAGAAAGAGGGAGCTTTTGAAGAATGGCCTTAATTTTTGTTTCCCAGTAAAACACGAAACAAAATTCTCAGTTGACAGAATGGAGTAAGGGGAGCTATGGGAGGTTTGAAAAGGAATAAAAAAGTATGGAAGAGTTGCTGTGATGAGTGGAATAGTGAGTTAATTAGGGAGGTGTGAAAGGATTGCCTAGTAGCAGTGAGGGCTCATTTGAGGTTATATAATATAAATTTATAGTGGACTCAGTCAAGACAGGTGTGTAATTTTCTCCAACTGTGTTTGATATTATATTTGTAGGACAGATTCAAGGCACAATTGAAAATATGATGGAAGGCTAAGTAACTCAAGAAAAGAGGACAGTATAGAGATGAACTGGTTCACCAAGGGGTCAAATTGTATAAAGGAGGAAAGTGTGGAGTGCAGGGGTGGGAGTGATCTAAGGGGTCAAAGTATCAGAGGTCACCATGTGGATAAAGAGCAGGGTTTACTATTGAAAGGTAGAGGGAGAGATAGAAATATAATGTATTTTAATCAGATAGAGGAATATTAGATTTCTTGAACGTGAAGGTGGTGTATTTTATGTCAAGGTAGGATCATCTTTATGTGTGGCTGAGGTAGGGCCAAAGAATAAGTCATGGGAAAAGAGAAAGTTAGTGAACTGGGAGGTTAGAGTGAGTGAATATCAGTATGTATATTGAAGTCCCCTAGTATGAAGGCAGGAGTTATGGAGGGTACAAATATTGTGAGCCAGGTACTGAATTTATTGAGGAAAGGAAGGGGGAGAGCAACCTGGACATCTGTAGACAACATTCATTAAGGTTTTGATTGGGCTATGTATGTGACTGCATGAACCTCAAAGGAGGAGAGGTTACTGAGTGATGATGGTTGGGAGAGAACCTGGAAGAGGCAAAGGGGAGCAAGGAGTACTCAAACTCCTTCACCTCAACCAGTGAGTCAGGTGAATGAGTGGAAGTTTAGCAGACAAACAGTGGCTCGGGTGCTATATCATCAAGGAGGGAGCCAGGTCTCAGTGAGACCCAGAAGAAGGAAGGAGTCAGAAAGGAAAAAAATTAAGCTGAACATAAGTTTGCTTCTTGTGGAATGAACATTCCAGAGAGCACAGTGAAAGGGATGGGTAGCTTTAGAGTGGGTCTTTGGAGAGGGGTGGGTTAAAGAGAGTGGGAATACGGAACCAAGGCAGCAGGGGATGGGGAATGAGGTTGGGTGATGACATACTGGGTTTCAGAATTATTGGGATACAGAGCATATACAAATTAGGGGTTTGTTAATCACTAAATAAAAATTTAGAGATTTTCAAAGTCAATAGTATTATGATCTCAGGGGTGGGGGTCTTTTGAGAGTCTTGGGCAGTTGAAATGTGGGAACAAGACTTGAAGCAGAAGGAGCGGCAATATTCTCCCTCTCCCAAAGCAAGAGACTAGTCTGGAAATGTGATAGAATGATACCTTCTTCCATCATCTCAGCTGTAAGAGACTATTTTAATGAAATGGTGCTTCTGCTCTTCCTCCTGAGGATAAATGAGGGATATGATGTTAATATGTCCAGCTCTCCTCCTCCCACTTTTACTGGAGGTTGGAGACCAACCAGAAAATGCAAGGAGATCATATTGCTTATGGAATGATACTGCCTCTGAAGAACTGAAGATGAGAATCACACAGAGTGCAGTGAAGAAGCCAATAATGGGTGTGGACTGGCCACAACATATAACTAAGGAGGAACTCTGAAGAATAGGCTTAAAGGATAGTCAAGGAACTACATGACAGAAAGATTTTCTCTTTCTGGGCTAGTAAAAAGGATAGAAGAGAGGGCTATAGGAGGGGAATTGATTAGAGCTGAGCTGAGGCAATAGATGACTGAGAGGACTTCTAGTGAACAGTATTTGTAGCCTATACCTCATTTAAATGTTTATATATGTTTATTAAATAACTAAGTTTGTATTTTGAGACTGAAATAGGGGAAGTTAAAGTTTTATCTGATTTAATTTTGGATATAGGACTGAGGCAGAGAAAGAATTTTTGTAATTTTTTTGAGAATATTCAAGAATATACTGACTAGACTTCCCTGAACTTGATGAGAGAAAATTTGTGGGACAATCAGTAATAGCCTGAAGGGTGAGGGTGGGGGAAGAGGTCAGGGAGTTTGGTGTGTTTGTCTTTGAATATACCATGTATAGTCAAGCATGATGCACCACATCCACAGTTTTCTAAATCGGAAAACTTGTTTTCACCACTAGGTATAGGTGGGACAAGGAGGAAGTTTCTTTGAGATGCTTCTACTTAGTTGCCATGATATTAATTAGGAATGTGGTAGAATCATTGTGTTCCCCAACTTTAAGTTCATCTTATTAGTTAATCTGAACTAATTAATAGTCTTTCTTTTTTAAGCAAGAAAAACACTCAGTGAATTTTGTTTTAGAAAATATTTAATTCAGACTCAAAGGTTGATCTTACTCCTTTAAGATTTTTATTCTCTACCCTTACAGGTGTATGAGATTGCCCATAATGCATACAAAAACAAAGAAAGAGTGAAGATGGTTATTTTTCCTCCTGGTTTCCAACATAATTTCATATGCAAAGATCCCAGGTTGGCAATAATTGTGAGGTGAGAATCAACTGCTTTAAACATTTTTCTATCAACGGAAACTGAGTACATGAAGAATAAGCAAGCTAACATGTGTACTCTTTCTTCAGAGATTTCTTGAGAGAGCAATGGGCATGAATAACCAGAGCAAATTTCACCATGAAGAGGATAGCCAAGATTTGCAAACTCCCTGCATTAAAAGTCCAAAGCTTATGTAGATGAGCTGGAGTAAGTGACTCATATGCCTATACACTAATTCACATATATTCAACACAACAAACAATGAAAAATATTGCTACAGTTTCCACAGTGTCTTAAATTGGCTCAAGAGCTTTTGTATGAAATTCACTTAAGCCTCCAAGTAATACTGTTCTTTATAGAGTGGAATTTTATTTAAGATGGGAAGAAACAGCATAATCTAATGGAAATAGCACTTTAACAGGTAACTTGAAGACTTGGGTTCAGTCATCTACCAACAAGATTGATCATGTCCCCTACTCAGGAAATCTTCAGTATTTCCCAACTGCCTCTTCGACTGGCCATTTAAAGTAATTTACAATCTAGTTCTAGTCTACTTTTTAAAAAAATTATTATTTATTTAACATTCTTTTTAAATTTTGAGCTCCGAATTTTCTCCTTCCCTCCCAACCCTTCCCTACCACCTGAGAATGCAAGCAATGTGATATCAATTATACGTGTGAAGTTGTGCAAAACATATTTCCATATTATCCTTATTTCAAAAAAAGCAAGAAAAATAAAATGAAAAAATTATACTTCAATTTGCACTCAGAATTCATCAGTTCACTCTCTGGAGATACCATAATAATGATAAAGTTCTCAGGAGTTACATGTATTATCTTCCCGCATAGGAATGTAAACAGTAACTTTATTGAGACCCTTATAATTACTCTTTCATGTTTACCTTTTAATATTTCTCTTGAATCTTGTGTTTTATGGCAAAGTTTCTATTCAGCTCTGGCCTTTCATCAGGAATTCTTGTTTTTCTTTTGGCTATGAACTCTGAGTGTCTCTCCCTCCCAGTTTGACTTTTTTTTTTAAATTAAAGGGGCCATCCCTATACTCACTTCTTAGAGAGGCCTATTCATTAAGTGGGGGCTGCCTCACTCAAAGTGAGAACTAGAAAAGAGTTTAGCTCAAAAAGGCCAAGGTCTCCCACTGTATCCTGGGCCACCTTCAGTTGTATTGGTCTATATCTGGCCACTGGACCCAGATGGCTCTGGAGGTGAAAGTGAGGCTGGTGACTTTGCACAGCTGTCCCTCACTCAAATCCAATTTAATTGCAAGTCATGTCATCACCTCCCTGATGTCATGGTCCTCTTCAAGAATGAAGCACAAACAACACAAGGGTATAAGACAAATCCACATAAATACTCTTTATTTCTATATATTTAATCTATAAAACTCAGCAGGAAGAGCTTTAAAGAGAATTCCACACAAAATAATTGCAGAAACAATGAAATCCTGAGGAGTGTATCTTTCAAGATACACCCCAGAATTATATAAATCTCACTGTAAAACACCTTTTGCAGAAATAAAGACAGACCTAGAGAAGCTTTAATTACTCAAGAGTAGGTCATGCCAATGTAATAAAGATGATAATACTAGATAATCTAATTTATTCAGTCCTGTGCCAATTAAACTCCCAAAAGAATATTTTAAAGGGGCAGAAAAAAATAATTCATATGGAGGAGGAAAAGTTCATGAATTTCAAGAGTAAAAATGAAAAAGAGTGGGAAATAAGTCTTATCAGTACCTGATCTTAAACTGTATTATAAAACAGTAATCATTAAATGATTTTGTACTGGTTTAAAAAAAGAAAGGTCAATCATTGGAACAGATTAGGTACACAGTGTACAGACGCAAACAAACCTGGCAGCATAATGTTTACATGAATCCCAAGAGCCCAGTTACTAGGGAAAAGACTCATTATTGGACAAAATCTACTGGGAAAACTGGGCAGCTTTTCTTGCCATACACCAAGATAAGCTCCAAATGTATACATGACCTAGGTACAGAAGGTCAACTCATAAAATAAATTAGAGGACTAAAGAAGAAATTACTTTCAGATCTATGGATAGGGGAAAGATTGGGTGACCAAAAAAGTAGCAGAATCCCACAGGATAAAATGGACAATTTTGATTATATAAAACTAAAAGTTTTTGCAGAAGTAAATTTAATGTCAAAATCAGAAGTAAAGTAGGTAACAGATAATTTTAATAAGTTTCTCTGATAAAGGTCTCAAAGATATATACGGATCTGACATAAATTTATAAGACTAAGGGTCATTCTTAAGTAGATAAATTGTGTAAGACAGTTTTCAAGAAAAAAAAAATCCAAGCTATCAACAATCACATGAAAAAAATGCTCCAAATTACTAAGAGAGATGCATACCAAAGCATCTTTGAAGTTCTACCTCACACCTACCAGATTGGCCAAGATGGAAAAGAAGAAAACAATATAGCAGATGATCTTTAAGGTACATTCATCCTAAGCCCCCCTTATCATGCCACCAATTATGCTCAGCCAGGCCTCAGCCTGGGATCACTTTCACCACCCATCACTCTTTAATGTCATGCTTACATATATACTTTACTTTGCATATATTTGTTTGCAAGCTGTCTTGCCCATCAGGTTGTAAATTCCTTTAGAGCAAAGACTGTCTTTTGCCTCTTTTCATAAACCCAGCACTTACTACAGTGCCAGGCACATAGCAGGTGTTTAATAAATGTCTATTGATTAATTGTTTGATAATGTTAGATGGTTATATCAAGAATTCTGAATAGCTTTTTATATAAAGTACCTCCTGGTTTGTATCCAGAGATAATGTTAAAGAGTTTCCAATTTAAGAAAATGATTATATTTTCATTAATTTGACACATTTGTATTACATTAAAAATCTGAGTATTTTTCTGTCTGATCAGCTTTGGTAATGGCAGTAGATCACCACTTAATCTTATAAAATAATTGGCTAGCTTAGTAGTATTTAAATTCTCTTAAACTTAAGTTCTTTGAACTTAGCTCTTTATTCAATCCCAATAGATAGACATTTTTCTTCCAAAACATAATTAGAACTACTTACTACAGTTTTATTTTTAAAGAAAGGAATATTGCAAAATATACTTAGGTACAATAAAATATTTGGCTACTTCTCCCCTCCTCCCCATCCCAGATTGTTCAGAATTCCATCTCATTGATTCATTTACCATTTTCTTTATTCAACATCTCTCTAGGTTCATTAGGTAGAGGAATCTTCAGGTCTGAAGGTTCCATACTCCAGATGTCCTTAGCATATTCCTTAATTGTTCGGTCACTTGAGAATTTTCCTGAGGCAGCTATGTTTTTCACTACCATTCTAGTCCACTCTTTTGAATTCTGTAAACAAAAAAATATAGCATTATTGTACTCTGTTCTCCTATTCACTTGGGGAACATTTGACAAATTTGATTTACCTTAAAATCTCACAGAAAACAATGACAGCATAATTTTCTTACATTTCAGAAAATTATAAATAGGCAGTTAGGTGGCCCAGTGGCATCAGGGCCTGGAGTCAGAAAGACCTGAGTTTGAATCTAGCCTCAGATACTTAGTAGCTGTGTGACCCTGAGCAAGTCATTGAATGTCTGTTTGCCTCAGTTTCCTCAACTGTAAAATGAGGGAAAACCCCAACACCTATGTCCGAAGGTTGTTGTAAGGACCAAATAAGATAATACTTGTAAAGCACTTAGCACAGTCCCTGGTACTTAGTAGGTGCTTATTCCCTTCCCTTTCCTCCTTAAGTTACAGAAAATTACAACTAATCGACTAACAACAAAACTAACAATAGGTTTGAGAAACTAGATAGTATGTCATTTGCTTACTGAAACTCTAGATTATATTTCCCCGGAGACCAGAAATATTAATTTTAAAAATCAATAGCTCTGAAGTACCTTTGCTTCAGTAGTCATTACTTCTTATAAGATTGGAGGCCCTCTAAGTTTGTATTTTTAAGAATATTTACCTGCTGTACTGAATTCATATGTTTGAATTTGTAATTAACAAAGCTGCTACTTCCTAGTTTAGGATGGTAACATATGCTTTCTGGAAATCCTGGCAACTTCAAAATGATTAATCAAAATTTATTGAACATCTGACAATGCCTGTCACATTATAAAGACAGAAAGGGGGTAACAATTTAATTTCAGTTGTGAAGTAACTTTTAGATTACCGATGTATTCTAAATGATGAAGAATACAAATGCGCAATTTATTGTAAATCTGAATATTGATAGGGAGGTAAGTGTGGAGTTGGATGGGTTTATTCCATTCTCAGTATATTTTGAAAGTGGGGTACAGACAGAACACTAATATTGGAAGTGAAAACTGATCTTCTCAGCTTCTGCCATTCTCTTCTCTGCAGATTTCATAGCAGAGAGGCCAGACCATAGCAGCAGGGCCAAGAAAGTGGCAAGTGTCCTGGCCCTGGATTCAGGAAGACCCAAGTTTAAATCTTGCTTCAGGTACTTACTAGCTAACCCTGGGCAAGTCACTTAATCTTTTCCAACTCCTACTCCTACCAGTAAAACAATGGAGTTGGATGTCACATTCTCACCAGTCCCTCTGATTTTGACCAGGATAAGCTCATCATCAGAAATCTCATCATCATGGAGAATGATTTAGCTTGGATACTCAACCCACCCTCAATTGCATCTCTTCTCTGATTCCAGGATTGGAGTTCAGTGTAAAAAACTCCTCCCAAAGCCTCCATTTATAAAGGGCTCAGGATTTTCCAGTCAAGTCTTCCTTTCTCACCAGCTATTTTGCTTCCTTTTGTGTCTCATCTTCCCCCATTAGACTGTAAGCTCTGTGAGGGCAGAGACTGTCTTCTTATTGATTTGTATCCCTAGCACTTAGCACAGTTCCTGGAACACAGTAGGTACTTAATAAATGTTTATTTATTGAAAATTTAATTGACTAATGGCCTTTACAATTCCCTCTAACTCTAAATCTATGAATCAAAGTATCTTATATGAAATATTACCTCCCAGGTACATAAATGTTCATGGATATACCAAGACTGAGCCAATATTTTCTCATTTTACTTTACTGGGTGTAACACAAGTGAACCATCTAGCTAATACTCTACAAATCTCGTTACAAAGATATACTCTGCCAATATAAATGGTTATCTTTTAGCAATTTGGAGGAACGTTTTATGTATTTATACATTAACACTAAACTATATACATTCACCACAAAAAATTGCTATTTTAAAACTAGGTCAAATGTATGAAATATCATTTTAGAAAGTTTGACACTCCGACCACAAAAAGTTAGTTATTTACATTTCATGGAGTTGGTGCTAAGGTGATGGAATATCAAGAAGCGATTTGAGGAGCAGTGAGCTCCTCAAAACTTCTCCAAAGACATCTAGAAAATGCTGAATTCTGATAAGGAAATTGAAGAAAAAGTCAGGGTGAGTCAAGCCTAGGTCAACATAGGGAGATATGGTAAGAGGTCTGCAGAAACTTGGGATGGGTCAGCCAACAGCAACTAAGTGGAGCACTCCATGGCCTAGGGAGGGGCTATGCATCAGGGAAAGAGGAAGTCCCAGATCCATTCCATGCACTGCAATGGGAATGGATGCCAACTGGTAGCTTTGTTACCCACTGCCCAGTTCTGGATCACAGACACAGGGTGGGTCTGTACCCAGGAATAGCATGCTTTTACACATAATACCTCACACTTTTGTTCTAAAGACCAAGAAAAACCTTTTTTTTTTTTAAAATTTGGTACCTATTATAAGAGTGGCTACATGCCCTAAGCAGTGTGTGAAGAGAAATTCTGAAATAAGCAGCAGCTTATGGGAATAGAGTGGGATCCCAGTTTTATCTTCTGGCCTAGTCTGGAGCCTACCAAGAAATCATGATAGCAGGAATCCTAAACCAATGTAGAGCCTTTAATTCTGTTACTCGCTGTACCAGCTAAGTAATAGGTGCCAAGTCCAGCAGTAGTCAACTAGTGCTCAGACCCAAACCCAAGTCAGGAACTTACAAAGTTCAAAGGCCAGGAGACAGCAAGATGATTTTGGAAGCACTGAAAGCTTGCAGGTTTCCAGCCTGAATTGTCCCTAAAATCCTAGAATAACCAAGGAAACAGCAATAGGATGAAGCCCAGACCTTCCTTCCAGAACTGCCCAGACCCTGTGTTAATATCAAATTTGATGTTAGGAAATAGGCTGGGAAAATAAGCAAAAAAAAAATGAAGAAAAAGAATCCCACCATAAAAAGCTATTATCGTGAGAGGTAAACTCAAGACTGAGACCCAGAAGAGAATGACTCAAAAACATCTACAAGAGAAGCCTGAAAGAACAACAGAGTTTGGATATAAGTTCAACTAGAATGCCTAGAAGAGATAAAGTAAGAGTTGAAAAAGAGTTAAAAATACTTTTCATTAATGAAATGAGTGCTACAGAAAAAGAAAGCTGTGGAAGAATTGGAAAGGGAATTAACTTAGCACAAGAGGTGCCAAAGCAACAAACTTAAAAAAAATTAGAATGGACAAAATGAAAGCCAATGAATGCATAAAACTATAAGAAATATTAAAACATAGCCCAAAGATTGAAAAAAATTGAAGAGATAATTTAAGAATCATTGAACTAGCTAAAAAGTCATGATAAAAAAAGATCCCAGACATATTTAAAGAAATTTTAAAAGAAAACTGCTTCTTAGAACCAGAGTGCAAATTGTATATAGAAAGGATCTACAGGTCACTTCCTGAAAAAAAAAAACCAAATAAAAACTCCCAGGAACATTATAGCCCAAATCCAGAGCTTCCAGTTCAGAGAAATAATATTGCAAGGATTCTGAAAGAAAGCATTCAAATATTAAGGAGCCACAGTCAGGATCACACATGATTTAGCAGCCAAGGACTTAAAGGAGTAGGGAGCTGGAATATGACATATCAGAAGATAAAGGATATGGGCTTACAGCTGAGCAAAACTGAGTATAATCCTACATAGTGGGAAGGGATCTTTAGTGAAATAGAGCACTTCCAAGCTTTCCTGATGAAAAGATGAGAAATCCATCAAAACTTCAAAGTTCAAACAGAAGAGTTAAAGAGAAACATAAAAAATGGTAAACACAAATAAATCACAAGGGACTAAATAAGGATAAACTATTTTTTAAAAAATAATTTCTTTTTATTTTCCAACATTCACTTCTATAAGATTTTGAGTTTTAAATTTTCTCCCTCTCCCTTTTCTCCCTCCCCCCACAAGATGGCAGTGAAATTTGATATAGGCTCTACTTATACATTCCTATTAAACATATTTTCACATTAGTCATGTTGTAAAGAAGAATTAGAACTAATGGGAGGAACCATGAGAAAGAACAAAACCAAATAATAAAAGGAAAGGAGAGCAACTAGTGTGCTTCCATCTGCATTCAGATTCCAAAGTTCTTTCTCTGGATGTGGATGGCATTTTCCATCATGAGTCTTTTGCAAATGTTTTAGATATTTGCATTGCTGAGAAGAACTAAGTCTATCAAAGTCAGTCATCACACAATGTGGTTGTTACTGTGTACAATGTTTACCCAGTTCTGCTCATTTCACTCAGCATCAGTTCATATAAGTCTTTCCAGTTTTTTCTGAAGTCTGCTTGCTCATCATTTCTTATAGCATAATAGTATTCCATTACACCGATATGCCACAACTTGTTCAGCCATTCCCCAATTGATGGATATCCACTTAATTTCCAATTCTTTGCCACCACAAAAAGAGCTGCTATAAATATTTTTGGGTTCTTTTCCCATTTGTATGATCTCTTTGGAATACAGACCTAGAAGTGGTATTGCTGGGTCAAAGGGTATGCACAGTTTTATAGCCCTTTGGGCACAGTTCCAAATTGTTCTCCAGAATGGTTGGATAAGTTTACAATTCCACCAACAATGCATTAGGGTTCCAATTTTCCCACATCTTCTCCAACATTTATCATTTTTCAGTTTTGTCATGTTTGCCAATCTGATAGGTGTGATGTAGTATCTCAGAGTTGTTTTGATCTGCATTTCTCTAATCAATAGTGATTTAGAACATTTTTTCATATGACTATAGATGGCTTTAACTTCTTCCTCTGAAAACTGCTGTTCATATCCTTTGACCATTTATCTATTGAGGAATGACTTATAAATTTGACTCAGTTCTCTATATATCTTAGACATGAGGCCTTTATCAGAGACACTGGCTGTAAAAATTGTTTCCCAGCTTTCTACTTCCCTTCTAATCTTGGTTGTATGATAAACTGTTTTGATTCTAATACAGGAAGATGATACATGTGTTTCCTCTGAATCCTATCATCATCTGGGGTCATAGAGGGAGTCTTAATTAGACAAGGCTTAGGAATGATTTTGTTATGTCTTGACAACCTTAAGAGAAGAATGGAAAGAGAGAGGAAGAAGAATATACTATGAGGGAAAGGGAAATGAGCTTATGGAAAATGCACACATTATCAGGGTGTGCAAATATACATCTATATAAAAAAGGAGGAGAGGTAGGGTGTAGTGGTTGACATGAAATTCACTCTAATCTGAACTGGTTAAAGGAGGAAAGATGCATACACACCTGGGTGCAGAAATACATTTCATTTAACCAGAAGGGAAAGGGGAGAAGGAGGAATTAGAATTAGGAATTAGAAGGGGAGGTAAATTAAGGGAGGAATTAGTCCTAAGCAAAACAAACTCTAAGGATGTACAAAATATTTCCAGCTATTTTCAGGTGGTAAAAAATGGGAATATGCCCATAAATTGATGAATGAATGAATCAACTATTGTACATAAATGTGATAGAATATTTAAAAAATTAGAATGGACCAAATAAAAGCCAGTTATTTGAGATGATCTTCTAAAAAACCCGGGAAGGCATATCAACTGATGCAGAGTGAAATTAATAGAACCACAAGAACAATTTATATAATGATAACTATGGCTTTGAAAGAATTAAGGACTTTGCTAAGCATAGTGAGCAAATTGTAATTTCAAGGAAGTAATGCTGAAATCTGCTATTCACCTCTTGACAGAAGTGAAAGACTCAGAGTACAAAATGAGATGTACACAGACATTCATACGCGTACGTGCACATGCGTGAGTGCGTGCATGCGTGTGTGTGTACGTGTGAGACAGACAGAGTGATAGAGACATACATACAGACAGACATAGCCACACGGCCAATGCTGAAGTTTGTTTTGCTTAACTATACAAATTTGTAACAAGGGTTGTGTTTTTCTTTCATTCTCACTTGGGGTGGAAGAGGTCAGGTGGAGCAGAGAAAAGGTGGAATTTTGCTCTTTGAAAATAAAGAATATAATTTTAAAACATTATCAAAACAACAATCAAGGAGCAGCTAGGTGGCACAGTGGATAGAGCACCGGCCCTGGATTCAGGAGGACCTGAGTTCAAATCTGGCCTCTGACACATAACACTTACTAGCTGTGTGACCCTGGGCAAATCACTTAACCCCATTGCCTAGCCAATAAAAACCCAAAAAACCAACAATCAAAACAACAATCCAAAATCAGTAATAATTCCTTCACCTCTACATGGTAAATGGACTTGAGATCAGCACCAATCAAGCAGTCAATATTTATTAAGCACCTACTATGTGCCAAGCACTGCTAAGTGCTGGGGATAGAAGGAGGTGCAAAAAATATGCTATCCTTGATATTAAGAAGCTTACAATCTAATCAGAGAGATGATACACAAATAAATATATACAAAGTGTGTTATGTATGGGATAAATAGGAAATAATTAAAAGAGTGAAGGCGCTAGAATTAAGAGAAAGGCTTCCAAAGATGGATTTTAGTTGGAGAAGGAAGAAAGCCAAGGATTGTCAATAGGCAAAGTGGAAGGGGGTGAATATTCCAGGCATGGAGGATAGCCAGAGAAAACACCCAGAGCTGAAAGATAGATGGAGTGTCTTATTTGTATAACAGCCAGGAGGCTAGTGTCACTAGATCAAAAGGTATTTACTAGGGAGTAAAGTGCAAGAAGACTGGAGAGGAAGGAGGGGACTAGGTTATGAAGGCTTCAAATGCTAAACCGAATATTCTATATTTGATCCAGGAAGCAACAGAGTCACTGGAATTTATTGAGAAGGAGGGTGAAATGATAGGACCTGTGCTTTAGGAAAATTACTTTGATGGCTGAATTAAGAATGGATCAGAGTGGAGAGAGACTTGAGGCAGGCAGATCCACCAGCAAACATAGTAATGGATAGAGTTCATAAATATCAAGATTAGAGGGGCTTTTAATAGAGAAAGAACAAACTAACATACCAGCTAATGTATTAACATGTTTACCTCAAGAAGAAGATTTATTAACGAGGTCCCATTCAGTACCCAGCGTGCCAAATAGCACACTTGTTGTTTTTTCTTTGTTTTTTAACATGTGGCATAATTCTGAGACAATGCAATGTTATTGAATTGCATTAACACTTATCTTTTCCTTTCCTTTTCCTTATTTCCTTTCTTGACAATTCCTTGTTTATATTTTTTAGCCTTTCTACCTACAAAGTACTCTAATTTGAGAGTAACAGGAAAAGATTAGAATTAATTCCCATCCTGGGGAATGCCAATTCAAGATATATCTAAATTTCATCCTGTTTACTTTGATTTTCTGACCTTTATCTGTACCAGCAATATTTATGTGTACACACACGTGCATGTAGATATATATTTATACACATGATATATATATTATATACGTGTACTCATACATTTATATATCTATATCTACCTAAACAAGGTAGAAAAATGTCAAGTGGCAGGAAAGCATATGGATCACTTTTGAGTTGATGATAAAGCTGCCATTTTCTGTTTCCTGATTTGTCAAAACAAATAATCTTGAATTTAAAGTGAGAATAGCTTAGTGTGCTTCTGGGAACTTGACGTAACTTAATATAAAATAAGGTCACAGACATTAAGTAATCCTATAGCAAAACCCAAATATATTACAAATACTAGAAGCTGGCAATATACCTTGTTTCCTGTGTCCAGAGAAAGCTTGCCAATATATACAAAGCTTTTTTTTATTTTTGAGGTTTAAATGAAAAGTATTTTAATTCTGTCTTGTTTCAGTTTCTCTGTTTTTGTAAAAATTCTTTTTAATCATGCTTATACCAAATCCAGAATGGTGCTACTTATGTTTAATGGGCAGTAAGATTTCTCATGATATAGCAGATCTGCAGCTGTAACTCAGACCAGAATTCCAAAATAGGACTGAAAAAAAGGCACATCACATATGAGTTGTAGCATATGTCCTGCCCTGTTAGCCATTTATCTACTAATTATTTTCTTGTGCTAATTAAACCAAGGTCTATATTATTGGGCACATAAGCTTCTATAACACATTTCATATACACAACTAAATGCTTTAACTCTGGCAGAGGATGTTATTTGTGGAAGATTGATAATTTGGTTTGCTGAAGGTTACTCGTTAGTCTCTATTAGAATACTGCAAAAGTCTTATTTTTATATACATATAAATACCACCCAAAGAGTTCCCCAAATTGTAGAAAAGCTATTTATTTTTACAGTGAAGAGAACAAGTTTTAAAAAAAAATTTTCCTTAGATGATCTACATATAAAGCTATTCACTAAATGCAAATCAAAACCCCATCTCTGACCAATTAGAAGCAAATTGAGATTTTTTTGGCCTAAATGAATAGGAAAAATGCATCCATTCTCCATTATGATCTAACAACAAGACCTGAGTGTATGAGAAACATATCTAAAGTGGGAAAATGGAAAGTTTTCCTTGAACTCTTCAAAAAATGGCTTCCTTTTTAAATCTGATAGGTGAGATGTTAGAGATGCTCTTACCATGTATAGTTGACTGACTTTTTCTTGACACTTGACATAGGATTCATAATCTGCAAAGACTTTAAACCTATTTTATTGAGGGATAGAAAATGAAAACAAAAGAATTATTATCACATCCTGTAACTTTCTCTATAATTTAATTTAAATTGCACCTTCCTCTCTGATCTAGTTTGACTATTTGGTTAAATGTTGACACAATTCAGAGCAGTTATCAAGAATTTTAGCTAGCCCACACAATTTCCTACAGCCTTTTCTATACTTAGGAAATGCCATCATGTTGATACATTTGATAGTAGGACATACCAATTACGTGAGAAAATCAGAATACTAGCTTTCTCAATTTTGTTTTAAAATTCCATTACCATCCTTATTTGATAAAAACCCAATTTTCCTTCCCTGGCTCTTCTTTCTGATCTGGAGTCCATGCTTACCTACTACGCTTACCCACTAGTCTTTTCCCCCAGTGAGGAAAAAATAGGTTCCCCTAAGTTATACCCTACATGTCCCATTCTGGATACTGACCTATCATGATAGAATAGCATGTTGATGATGTCTTTGAAAAGGTCTGGCTGCTTTGGAGAGAAGAAGCCATTATCAATCTGATCAATGGCCATTTTCAGTTCTGGAAGCTTTTCATAATATTCCTTAGCATCATACCTAAAGATGGGGTTGATGAGGGAAGAATTATATATAATGCATAAGAAGCAGCATTAGAAATTCCATAAGCAGTATAAACCCCATGGCTTTCTAATTAATTATAATTAGAAGTTCAGGCAGATTTTGTGCTTATAATGTTATTGTGTACAAGGAGCTTTCCTAATGTCTTTCAAATGTAATTTAGTTATTATGTATAACATAAGACTCTAAAGATAAGATTATGAAAAATCACAAGTACCATGTGCTGTCATAAATGGAGTATAGGAGGGTTATATATTCAAGCAAACTGAATTTAATTCAATCTAGGATTTTAAAAAAACCATATTTTAAATAAGCAGATAGCTAGGCCAATACATTCACAGAACCTGGTAGTAAATTATATATTGCAAGGAGAAGGAACTCAGTGTATGAAAAGTCAACAGTTTAATTAAAACATACAGAAGCACACTTTCTTTGATTATTTTTAGTAGTTTAGACCTAATATAAATCAAGTCCTCTCCAAGGGAGGGAAAATAAATGCTTCATATTGTTTTTCAAATTTAGTTCTGTCCCACTACCACTTTCTTTTAAAATGTTTTTACATAACAATCATTTCCAGATATCACTCGGACTACCACCTATTCAATGAGTCCTACCTTGTAACTTCCCCCCCAAAAAAGTCAGTTAATCAAATCCAGTCAGCATAATTATTTAATCTCACACTACCTAGAGTTCCCTACCTTTCTACTAAAGTAAAAAAGGTGAAATTTTTCAATTTTTTTTGGGGGCAAGATCCCTTACTAATATCTGCTTTCAAAATTTGAGAGGAATCTGATGAATTAATTAGAATTAAAAAATTTAGCTAGCATGTTATTCAAATTTAGGCCAAGTTAAAAGTAAATAGAGATAATGGGTGGGATCTCTGAGGGAGGTAGCAATACAGGCAGAATGATGGAAAGAACAGTGCCTTTGGAGTTAAAGGACCTGTTCAAATACCATTTCTCATCTATCAAGCAAACCTGGGCAAGTTATTTAACTTCTCTTGGCCTGTTTGCTAATCTGTAAAATGAAGGGGCTAGACTATATAGACCTCCAAGCTATCATCCAATTCAACCGCTATGATACTATAAAGCAGTTTTACTAAAGAGCAGTTTGAAGTTGATTGTTATGAAATAACTCAACCCTGTATCATGTTTTATCTTTATGTGTTGCCCCAGATTAAATAATCTACCTGAAAGAGGCCTCATAAAATTTCTGGTGTGAAATTTTGGGCTTCTAAGACTCTCGTGATTATGAATTGCCAAAATGCAAGAGAACCTTACCCTTTGCTGTCCAAAGCAGCAACATCATCTACCCTCATGCCAAAGATGAACAGGTTCTCTTCTCCAGCTTCCTCGGCCATTTCTACATTTGCTCCATCCATTGTGCCAATGGTGAGAGCTCCATTCAGCATGAATTTCATATTGCCTGTCCCTGAAGCTTCAGTGCCAGCAGTTGAAATCTGTTCCGACAAATCTGTGGCTGGAATAACTACCAATAATTTGTATTCAAGTTACTGATTTTGATCTTTGATTCTTTAGCTCTTTTCTTCACAAAACTAGCCAACAGCAACTCCCTCCTCCAAATTCCTATTATGTTCAGGGTTTTAAAATCCTAGTTGTATTGTTATTCTGTAGTGTTGTATTTTTGTATTGTTATTCTGCTTTCTTTACATCTGACATATTCAGAATGAAACAGCTCACATGCAAACATATTTGGCACTAGAGGCCATAATTCTGACTTTGTAACTATTTTTGAACACAGGAATGAGTGCTGCCCAAAGATACTCTTTGATTGTAGAAGCTACCAAATCAATGCTCTACTCTGAGAATACATTTATATATTATAAACAATTTAAGTTGAACTCCTTGGAGGGTAGATTTTTGTAATCTTCAATGCCTGAAGAAATAATGGGGTCTTCCTGGGTTTTGGTGGGTCACAGAATGACAGTTCTCAAATGTCCTTATAATGCCTAAGAACACCATAAAAATGATTCCTTGATAACTTTGGTACTTGGGAAATCAGTGCGTGCAGAATAGGTATTTGCATGTGGGGAATGCTTTGTAAGCATATGAGTATAAATAAACAAAAGGGTGCCAGTGCTGAAAAAAGGAAGTGCAGCTATTAAGCAAACTTACCTACCTCCACATGTTAATTCCTACTCCTGGAGAGTGACAGTCTAAGATATATCCAAATCTCACTCCTTGGCAACCTGATCTATTTCTTTGCTCCTATATGAACAAATGGCAGTTGCTTCTCCTAGGTTTTCCCATGCAATGAGAAGAAGAAAGTTTTGTAGCCAGGGAGTTCCAAGATTAAGGGTTAAGAACCCAACAAACTTATCATCTTATAAAGAAGACCAGCATCCAACAGAACAGAATTCTAGATACTTACCATTAATACCTAATTTTCCTTAACAATGAAATGCACTTGAAGTACAGCATGATAATATTCACTTTGACACCACAACATCAATCTCATTGTCGGACAGATCTGTATATAAATCTTGAGTTCTGCCCACATGTGATACCAAAGAGCTTACATGTCTAGCATTTCCCATTAGACTACAAATGTCTCGACAGCAGCAATTGTTTTCTTTCTAACATGTAACCCATATATTGTCAGTTACTTTGCCCAGTACACACCCAGTACTCAATGAATACTTTTATGGTTCAAGGATTCGGTTTTAGGAAGCCCTGAGTTTAAATTCTACCCTAGACATTTAATAGCTGTGTGAGTTTGGGAAAATCACTTTAACTTCTCCAAGCCTTAGTTCTATTTATAAAATCAGGATAGTAATAGGACCCACCTCACAAAGTTGTGACAAATAAGAAAAATATATGGAGTGCCTTGTACAACTTACATAAATGTTAGTTATTGTTATCATACTACCTTTTTCAGCCAGAGATACTCTATAGTTCTCTAAGAAGATGACTTTCAACTTGCTTCCAACAACAGGGTCATTGTTCACCACATCAGCCACAGATGTGATGAGCTTGATGATCATTTTAGCCATGTGATATCCTGGAGCAGCCTTGTGAAAACAAACAACTCAAACATTTACTATGTACTAAATGACAGGAAAAGACTTGAACTTCAAAATTCATCCAATTAGATAAACTTACTTTGCCTCCGATTATAACTGTTCTGGGCACAAATGGCTTCTTAGGGTCTTTTTTAATGCCTAAAAAATATTGGGAGTGGAGAGAGGGTTGGTGAAGAGAGTTAAAAAAGACATACATGGGGACTGTTGCTTCCTCTACTCCCAAGGGTTTAGAAGGTCCCCACTGCAAGTGAAATGACCAACTCACGGTTATACATTGTAATGACGTGAAGGCAGTTCATGAGTTGTCGCTTATACTCATGGATCCTTTTAACTTGCACATCAAACATAGAAGATGGATTGATCTTTACTTTGTATTCCTTCTCCAGGAACTGAGAAAACTTGAGTTTGTTTTCCTATTGAAATAGAAACATAAGAGCTCTTCTGCTCTGAACACATCTGGTGTGACAGACATAAAATAATGAGGCAAATGTCCAGGTGAACATTGCCATGCTGCAAAGTCTCACCTGCTTCACATTGGCCACTTCACATAGAAAAATATCATCAGAAACAAAGTTGTGCAGCTTGGTCAGCTGGCTTAAGTCTTTCACATAGTCTTCCCCAATTTTCTTCAAATTTAAAGGAAAAAGGTATGTTAATGAATTTCCGGTGCCTTGCACATAGCAGTAAGCATTTATATGCTTACCGAATTGTACTTAATTAGCATCCATAAATGATACGAAATTTCACATGGAAAAGATTCTAAGTATGTTTGCAAGTGGTATTTACTTACTACACAAAGAAATATTGAGTAAAGGGATAGTTTCTTTTGATGGTTAAAAGACTGTAGGTTTTATTTATAAAATAATATTTGACTGCCCAACTGTCTTATATTTGGATCACTATAATATCGGAGATTCTATATATAAAGTGAAAGGAACATGTTTGGGAGTCATGAAGCCTTGGGGTTTATTCTAGGCTATTTCCCTGAATTACCATGTTTTCTTGGGTATCTAACATCATCTGTGTGGGGTTTTTTTCTTCCTACATTTTTGTCCTTCTTGAAATCTTTCATAACAAAGAAACTCTTTCTCTTGGACTCTAGTGACTTTATGTTTATGAAATCTGAGATAATAACACTGATTCAGTACTTGGGATGCATCTAGATAGGATGTCAGAAGTTTGTGAAAGCCATATAGTGGCAAGAAACTGGAAAATAAATCAGCAAATTTTGGTTTTTGTTCAGGCTCTGCCAATGCCTAGCTGTCTTACATAAGTGAATTAATATCCCTAGGTTCTCATTTTCTACATCCATAAATTGAGTATTTAGGATTAGATTATTTTAAGGTACCTTCCTGGTCTACAATTCTAGAATTATAATCAGAGAGCATGACCTACATTGATATGATTTCACGTTAATTATTCTTTACACATGCATCATTATTTTTAAGAAATGAGCTTCTTCCCGAATTTCCTACATATCAATTTACTCACACAAATATACTCAATATTTCCTACAGTTACCTCTGCTATTAACTCTGCAAGTCCTGGGTTGCAGAGCAAAAGCCAGCGCCTTGGAGTTATCCCATTGGTTTTATTCTGAAATTTGTCTGGTTCTATCTCACTGAAGTCCTTGAATCTAAGGGTCAGAAAGTTAAAGAGTTTGGATCATGGAAGTAGGGTTCAAGATTAATCAATAAAATCTCAGTGTAACTCCTGGGTACCCTAAGAAGTTGGCAAACTAACAAAATAAAAAGTGGGAAAAGGATAACTAGCATCTTTGGTTGTCAGTCTGAAGGAGAATAAAAAAATGCAGTTTTTATTGTCTATACATAATAGTAATATACAACTTCTTCTTGACTGAACAACATTGACATATGAGTTTTTTTAGGAAAGGATCCCTTTAGTTTCTAAAAGTAGGTTCAAATTGACTAACAGAGATTTCTCAATAGAAACTTTGTGTAGAAGGGTGTTATCTTTAAACATTGTATGTCTGCAGCCACCCTGACTATAGCTAAATTAACAGGATCTGAGTTAATTAATTAATCTATTTGTGTTAGCCCAGGGTCCAGAGTAATCAAGGCTCACACTTTAGTCTTCACAATGTCAGAGTGAATCTTAGCCACACCATTCACAGCATGAGAGCCCACGATACAGAGATGGGCCATATTTATCCTTTTTCCCCCTTCCTCTTCTATTAGAGACATCCTTCTGAGACGGTCTTCATCTTTAGGGAACAGTGATGCAATTCTCTAATCACAGGAAGAAAGAAGGTCAGTTGCTTTTGAATAAAGTAGCTGTTAAGCACCAAGAATTATCTTCCAAGTACAATATTTGATGAAGCCTACTCAGAATTGTAGAAATATAAAAGTAATACTATAAGAATTCCTTTTTAAATGAGCATCTTTTTAGAAAGGCAAACAAACTAGATTCTTCATCAAATGTAGAAATTTCTTCAGTTTCAACAAAAATACTATTAAATGATATTTGATATTACATTTTATAAAAAGTCAGAACCCCCTTTTGCAACTAAAGAAAATTTACTCACATGCAAAGGCAGTAGGAAGAAGGCTTGAAAAAGACTTACATCTAAGTGTTTCTGATTGATCTCATAGATGATTTGTAAATGTCGTGGGAGAAGTTTCTCTACAAGTTCCACTGGCCAGCGCTCTAATGCTTCTGGGAGGACAGTGTGGTTGGTATATGCAAATGTCTTTGTTGTGATTTTCCAGGCCTGAGAGAAACTGAATGGTTAACTTTCCCACCTTAGCAAAAATGGCTACCTCCATATGCACAGACCCCAATTATAGGTAGGCTAAATCTCTCATTAGCTCTGTTATGCTTAGATATAGCCATGGGATAATAATCTGTCTTGAGCTGGATAAATTTAATTTCAGTAATCGGTTTCCCTGAAATGTATGGAAATAGCGAATTTCCAGGAAATACAACCACATATTTAGCAAGTAGCTATTTTTAAGTTTGTCTGATAGAAGGCAACCTTCTACTGATCTACTCTACAACTCTATTTGCATTTCTCTCACTTTTTAAAGAAAAGACTTTCTAGAGAAGCACTTGAGTAATGACCCTTTTGTTTTGTTAAGCTTTTAACAATATCAGCTTCCAAATCTGTAGGGACACTTAAAATTAGTCATAGTTAATTATCTGTCATACTCTTAGTTGAGAGCATTCTATCTTCTGCTAGGCATTGAAAGAAATGTGAAAAAAATTTCAATATTTATGCATATTTACTCCCCTAATGATTTCATTTGTTTTGCTAACATTTTCAGTAAAGGACAATGGGAGGAAAAAATGTCAAGTTCTACCACCTAGGAAGACATTAATCATTTTTAAATTGGAAGCTACTGGTACCGAAAAATGTACATGAAAATCTGGGCTGGAGAGGATGGATGATGAAACTTACCCTCTTGTCTCAGGAGAGAATAGTATTAGAATGGTATGAGACATATACTATCACATTTCTAAATGTATTTGTTTTTGCTTAACTGTACTAACTTATTTACAAGGAAAATTCTACTAAGGTGAAGGGTTATTTATTAGGAAGTAGCAGTAATGTTTAGAGAAATTAATAAACAATTAAAATATGTAGTGGTACTTTTGGCAATATCTCTTAGTCTTAACATAAAATGAATCCAAGTATTTTACCAACTTTAGACCAGGGCAGTCTTTCAATGTCCATCAAAATCCTCATCAGCTCAGGGATAGCAAGGGCAGGGTGTGTATCATTCAGCTGAATGGCAACCTGAAGAAACACCACACTAAATTAGGGATCATGGAGCATGTATTTTACTTGACTGAAGCATGAATACAAATATTCATTTTCAAATAATTAAAACCACTTCCAGAGTTATTTTTGTTTGGGTAGAGGGACAGCCAAGGGAATTTCTTAAAAAGAGATTAATGACTTTTTCAGGTCCCTTTCATGCCCATGAACTAAACAAATGCATCCCATCCCAAATAGATCTTCCCTGCACATTGGAAACCCAATAATCCAGCATAGTTTGTTTCTCTTATCTGTAACTTAAGATATATTGGTTACCCATCTATTGATCTATAAAAAGTTTTTTTGTGAGTGTCTGTGGCTAGGGTTCTTAATCTCAGGTGCATAAATTTGTTTTTTGAAAAATATTTTGATAGCTATATTTCAATGTAATTGGTTTCCTCTGTAATCCAATGTGTTTTATTTTATTGATTTAAAAAAAATCATTCTGAGAAGGGGTCCATAATCCTAATTTTTAAAATTTTTAAAAAATTTTTTTATTTTTAGGCAATTGGGGTTAAGTGACTTTCCAGGGTCACACAGCTAGTAAATGTCAAGTGTTTGGTCTAAGGCCGTATTTGAACTCAGGTCCTCCTGACTTCAAGGCCAGTGCAACCTACCTGCCACCATAATCCTTATTGGACTACAAATGGAATCTATATCATAATAAAGATGAGAGACCCTGGGCTACTGCCATGGTGTTTTAAATAGTCCACTTCTGGTTTTCCTGACCTGAACAGAATTTTATCCTAAAGCTTTCAAATGGAAAAGGAGAACTGACCATAAATCTCTGGCTATTTCATTGTCAGAGATTACACTGATAGGCTCCTTACCTGATCTGGAAAAGCATCAAACACTGTACCAAACTTGGAGGCTTTGAAGCGTCGGATGACATCTTGTAAAGTGGCAGCCACGATAAAGTACTCCTGCTTTAATCTCAGCTCCTTTCCTTCAAAAAACTACAATCAAATACCATATTTAGAATATTTCATGGAGTAAAAGGCATGGGAAGAGTCTGCCAAGACAAGGCATGGGACTTTTTTCATGGATATCTTTAATTTAATTCAGACATTTATTAAATACCTAATGTGTGAAAGAAACTGTTAGGTACTAGAGAGTCACAGACAAAAATAAAACAATACTTGCTTTCAAGAAGGTTACATTCTATTGGAGTAGGAGGAGAAGAAAAAATAATGTTCATACAGATAAGTAAATAAAAAGCAATTTGAGGTGGGAAAGTGTAATAACCTTTGTTTGTGTGTGTGTGTGTGTGTGTGTGTGTGTGTGTGTGTTTATGTACATTTGCATACATGCACATTGAGGGGGAATGATCAGCAAAAGCTTCAGGGAGGAGACTGATAAGTCAACAAGTATTTATTGATTACTAATACATACTAGGCACTAGAGATACAAGTACAAAGAATGAAACAATCTACTTGTCATGAACTTTCATTCCAATGGAGGAGATAATGTACATGTATAAATGAAAAGTTAATAAATACAAATATACACAAAAAATTAAATATAAAATAGTTTGGGAGCAAGGACATTAATGGATGAAGGGATCAGGAAAGGATTCATGCGGAAGATGAGGCAAAGGAAAGGAAGGAATATATTCTAGGGAGGCACTGAAGCTGCATAATGTAAAGGCACAGAGACAGAGGGTCATGGGGGAGGAACAGAGAGAAGGACAAGTTGGATGGACCACAAAATGAAAGAGGGGAGTGACCTTTAATGAGATTAGAAAGGTAAGCTGAGGACAGCTTGTGTAGGACTTTACAAACTAAACAGAATTTATATTTAGCACAGAGCACAGTTTCTTAACTTGGGGTCTGTGAACTTATTTTAAAAAATGATCTTGATAACCATATGCCAATGTAATGAGAGTGCATTTTATTTTGTGCATTTAAAAAACATTATTCTGAGAAGGGGTCCATAGGTTTCATCTCTCTTCAGCCCCTTGAATTTTCATTTCCTGCCTACTCTATTAAAATTGTTTTCTCTAAGTCTACTGATTACCTTCTAGTCACTAAATTCAGTATTTTTTTTTCAGACCTATTCCTCCTAAACTTCTCTGTAGCATTTGACCCTGCTGAACATACCTTCTTACTGGATACTCTATCCTGTACTAACACAACAAACTCTTGATTCTTCTTCTGTCTCTCTAGTAGTTTCTTCTCTGATCCCTTCACAGATTCTTCATTCTCTTCCTGACCCCTTAATGTGGGTATCCCCAAAGATCTGTCCTTGGACCTCTTCTAAAAACACTCTATTGTTCCTTTGATTCACTCTCTTAGGTTTAAATATCACCTCACCAGAGATGACTCGCAAATCTTTCTCTCTAGTCCTTACCTCTGTTCTCAGCTACAGACCTTTACTTCCTACTGCTTATAGGATATCTCTACTTGGATGCCCCACTAATGAATGACTCTTCAAATTCAACATGTCTAAAACCAAGCTAATTGTTTTTCCTCCCAAACTTATTCCTTCTTCTGACTTCACTTGTTTATTACTTTAGCGTTATCTTTGATAGTTACTCCCCAATAAATTTCTACTTTCTGTTGATTTAAACTCTATAACAACCTTCCCATCTTTCCCCTGATCTTTATTACTGTCACTGCCCTAGTTCAAACTCTCATAAACTCTTGCTTACATTACTGCCATAGCCACTTCTCAGATTTTGCCATCTCTTTTCTCTCTTCCCTCCAACCCATCCTTCACATTGCTGCTAGAATGATATTTCTTCAGGTTCTTCCCTGTTGCCTTAGGATTTAAATGGAAACTCTTTTGCCTAACATTCAACCCTTCTGCCAGTCTGTCCTAGGTGAAAGGTTAACTTCACCCTCCATGAAATTTTCTTCCTAAATATGTATTCTCATGCCTCTTTACACCTTAGCCCATAGTCCTTTTCTCACCCTCTTCACCTGTTGAATTTCCACTTATCTATTAAAACACAACTAAAAAACATGTCAGAGCTTCATTTCCATGGTTTGTAAGACTTTCCCCCTTAGACCTCAGTCAGCACCTTGTTTTTGTTTTTAACTTTTTAATGTACTTATTAAGTGATATTGTATGTCATAGCTATGAATTGGTATCTTACCTTCTTAGTAGATTATAACTTTCATTAGGGCAGGGATTTATTTCCAGTGTATCTTCCCAAGCACTTAACACAGTGCTTGGCACAGGGTATATATTTAACACATGCTTGTAAGTTGGGTGGTTTACATCTTAGTAGTGCTAGTTGATTTAAAAAGCAAAGAGACCTGAAATGCAGATCCAAGAGAGGCCTTTTGACTCTGTAAATGAAATTTCTATTTGGAAAGGAAGTATCATCTCACCAATGACTTAAACTTTTACAAAGAGTATTGCTTTTAAATCCTTTCTCAGAATCTCTTGAATTTGGTGATTTAGGCACCAATTAAATGTTAAGTATCAAATTTGGCTCTATGCATAAGATGAATCCTTCATTTGTACAAGGCAAATCTGTCTAATGTAGATGGAAGAGAAAAAAGTATTCATTTCCTGAGGTCAAATTCAACATTAAATGGCCAGATTTGTGTGACTGTCGAGTAGGCTACTTTGAAATATCTTTTCTGAAAAGACCAGCTTCCATTTAAAAATAAGGCAAATCACTTACGTTATCATTGGGATACAGAACACGGGAAATGTTTTCAGCAAGATTGCGGTCTAGAACTGCCTGAATATAGTCACCGACATTAACTAAAGAGAATGGTGAGAAAAAAACAAATATTTTGTCATTTCAAGTTACCTGACTTTATACAGTGCTTGCTGGGTAATTTATGGGACCACTGCTGGAAAATGAAAAATGACTCCAAAGTCAAATGGTTTCCAAATTGCTTACATTCTATGTTCCCACATTAGAGAATAACGGTCACACACATGTGACTACCAATGGAAATTTCCTTCTTGGCTATATTTGCTTTCTAAAAAAAATACCTTCTTGTATAGAGAAAAGATGATAAAATCAAGACATTTTCTCAAGTTTGCCCTTTATATGAAATACTTAGCATGTAAACTCTATCAGGATCTAACAGAAAAACCACTAGATTCACATTATTAAAAAAAGGAAATAGGAAAAATAGCAAGAACCCAATTCAGTACTTACAGTCACGGAGGTTAAAGTCATTTGGTGCCCGAGCAGACCAGAGTCGCATGGTATTGACAGTATTATTCATATATCCAGGCACTGGTGTGTCATAGGGTAGTGCAAGGATCACCTACATAATTAAATAGAATAATTGATAAGCCTTTTTTTTTCCCCTTGGGAAGTTGGGTCTGGCAAATTAGGCTACAAACTGATTCCTAGTTCTGTTTCTGACCTGATATAAAACTAAGGAAATAGTCACAGAAAAATCTTAGTTATGTATCTCTCTCATTGCTTTCAGGAAGAAATGAATTTTAAAGATGCTATCTTGTAGTGTTATGGAAAGAGTATTGTACTTGCAATAAGGGAGACTTGGCATTCAGATTCTGCCTTAAGTACTTGGTAGCTTTGCTACTATGGACAACTCATTTAATTTCTCTGTCTTTAGTTTTATTATTTATAAAATGGAGATAATACTTTACAATAATTAAAGCAGCATGTAAATTTCCACTATTGTTATTCTTAAGAATGTCTATTTATTTATTTTGTTTGACAATGCCGTTAAGTGACTTTCCCAGGATCACACATCTAGTAAGTGTCAAGGGTCTGAGGCCGGATTTGAACTCAGGCCCTCCTGACTTCAAGGTGGGTGCTCTATCCACTACGCCACCTAGCAGCCCCTACTCTGTCTTTAAATGAAGCATTTGAGTAGTGTTTCTTGGTTTTACAGCAACTTGGCACCTGAAATTTCTTGATGTAAGATTACCTATCCATATATATGTATACATACATATATACACACAGAAACATATATAATATACACACATGTACATATAAAATATATATGTGATACATATGATATATAAATAACACACATAATAATATATTACGATATAACATAAAATATATAATATATGCATAATTGTTACACAGGACACACATGTGCATATAAAATATATATGCATGTGTGTGTATTATACATGTATGTATTGTATATACATGCACACAATCAACAAAAATGACTGCAAACTAACAAGAGACTTTTTAATTCTTAGCCATCCTTCCTGTTAAATAGTTTATCTAAAAAGCCAAGAGTCTAGAGATGCTAGCATTGCAAGGCTAAGTTCTAATCCTTGTCCTATTATTGACATTACAGGACTTTCAGCAAATGACTTATTCTCTCCATACTTCTATTACTTCATTTGTAAAAATAGCATAGACTTCTGAAGGCTATCAGAAGGAATAATACAGAATACAGATAACACTATGAAAAATGGATATTCCATGTAATGAAGTGTTAAGTACCTGAGTATCAACCCACTTGGTTCCCTTCTGGGTATCGATTACTCTGCCATAGAAGTGGACAGGGACCATGAATTCTGGACGAGCTTTCTCCCAGGGGTTACCATGTCTAAGCCAATCATCTGCTTCTTCTACCTGGAAAAAAAGACATAATATGTATTTCCCAAAGGTCACACTCTAAGCCCTAAACAAACAAACAAAAAAAAGCCTTCAATTTAACTTAAAAACTCTACTCTAAGGGGAAGGATAAATATAATTTACACTGAGGAACATTTACCAATTAGGTTGCTCAGAACATCTTTTCCTGCTGTTGCAAACAATGCTTAACTTCTGTTTTAGAAGTTGTTTGAAAATTGTAGTATATTAATATCACTGTAGTAGTTACTGTACATTTAATGACTTAATGGACTCTCTCTGTCCTCTAAGAAAATGAGTGAAACAATACTGAATGAGCACAAAAATAAAGCAAAAAAACAATCTGTTAATATTAAGCATAGGCAAAGTGAGTGTGATGAGTACAGGAGTATTCATAGATGTTACAAAGACAGGAAAAGTAAGGATAATTCATTATTTTTTTCCTCAGTAGCCAGAGAAATCTTTATGGAAGAAGTGGGATTTATAAAGGAAGTAAAAAGATTTGGTGAACTGGAAGATGAAGGATGTTTTAGATATAGGATATATAGGGTTTAGATATAGGATAAGTCCTGGGGAAGGTTCTAAGTAGAAATGTAACAAAGTCAATACACTAACATTGAGAATTTATGATTAGAACTTCTACATAAGCCATGATACAAAGGTTTGTTTTTTTGTCTACAAAACTCAGTGCAAAAATAGCAAGCAAAAAGAAGGGGGGGGTGTTAAATAAGAATTTCTTATTAGGTACATATGTTGGTTAGTAATAGCTGAGGCTGAGGTGCATATTATACCTGCCAAATTATGGTGGGCAGAGATCTAAAAGAGGTTGCCTTTCTTGAGAGCAGTGGTATATGCCACTATATTGATGACACAATGTTGACTGGGCAGAAGCCCTAGATCAGATGGTAGTCCATATGAGAGATTAGGGATAGGAAATCAACACTAAGAAAATTCAGGGTCCAGTTTGCTCAATCAAGCTTTGGGGAATTCAATGGGAGGGAAAAGCCCAGACTCTGAGCCTCAGAGGATTCCAAGTTCAGTGTGAAATCCAGAGACTTATTGGATTCTTTAGAGTTTGAAAAGCCTAGATTCATCATCTGGATATTATGATGGCCCTTATTTACCTACTCAACCAAAAGTCAGTGTCTTTTAATTGAGGTATAGAACAGTCTCAGAAGATTCAAAGAGAGCTGTACAGCAGTCTCTCTCCTTGGGTTTATCAAAGAGATGAAGATGCTTCAAAGCCATCAAAAACCTAGAGGCTATGATGAAATCTAGATTTTAAAAAAATGGACTGATGATTACATTGATAAAAAATTTAAAGATGAATTGTGAACTCAAGGCCAAATTATATAAAATAAGTGAATTTAACAAAAGGAAAATATTTGGCATATTAAACAATTTAAAAGATACAAAATGTAAGGTTTATTGTAGAAGCTAAATTTATTTTTAAGAAGAATTTAACTGCACACAGTAGCATAGAAAATTTATTTATTGTTGATTAAAGATACTTATGCATTTAAACAAAGGAAAGTGTAAAAATTTGGCCAGGTTCAGTAAATATAAATAGCAATCACAATTCCTTTCCCGATCACAATAGAATATAATAATAATTAGCTATATCATTAAACACTACTAGGCTAATCTGTGAAGGAATTGATTACAACACTCAATATTATTTCTGATCTTTGTTTCATGTTACCAATAAAAAAAAAAGGAACACTGGTTTCTATATTGCATGATACTAAATAAGGAGAGCAAAGGCCAGGCCTCTGTCATTTTAATTAAAGCCTGTGTCTTGCCCACAGAAGTACTTAATATTCAATAATGAAATAGACAAAGAAATTATTTAAAAACAATGTACTTTTATATTTAAAAATACTTAATGTGTCAAAAAATTACAGAAACAATTAAAATTCTAAAGGATACGCTGATCAAGGAGGGGAGAAATTATAGGTAGAGATTTACAGACATGTACCTGCCAACCCTCTCGGATCTTCTGATTGAATATTCCATATTCATATCGGATTCCATATCCATAGGCTGCAAGTCCAAGTGTTGCCATAGAGTCTAAGAAACAGGCTGTTAGATGAAAAACACAGAGAACATATTTATTTATTTTAAATAATATTTTACTTTTCCCATAAGACAACTTTTAACATTCATCTTTAAAAATTTTGAGTTTCAAATTCTCTTCTTCCTTCCCTGAGACCGCAAACAATTTGATACAGGATATAGGACATATTAATTTAGTCTAACAATATTTTCAAAAATATTCCTAAGACACAGACTCTGCAAAAAATTACCTCTATGGGAGGCCAAACAACACACCCAAATACACTGGCGATTGAAGAGTGGTTATTTTAACATTAACCATTACCACCAAATTACTAGTTTCTTGAAAAGGAATAGACTCAAGAATAAAATTTACTGCCCTTTCATGTCTGTGAATAATTACTACACACATACATATAAGCAAAACATTGTTGCCTTTCTTTTTGAAAAATAATAGAATAATGTTAACTTTTTTTTTGGCTCTAAATCTACTATATGAACTTTTGACCAATTCCACAGACTACTCTACAAGTTAAGGCTACTATTTCATAACTACCAATTTACCATCTTTCTGTGTAAAATCCTGACCAACTTCTTGGGGCGGCTGGTTTTATAGGATGTTTATTGCTGGCCTTTCAAAGAACTCAGAATCGAGCAAAATTCCTCTTGTAATGTGTAATTGAAAATCAGGTAATTTTGTAGTTACTTGTTGGGTGGTAAGAAAGTCATATTTCTTTTATGAAAATGATGGTGAAATATTTTTGTTCATTCTCTTAAAGAATGACATATTTGGCAAAATTAACTATAATCCTACAGAAGGAAAAATGAGCCTTTAATGAAATAGAGAATTTCCAAGCATTCTTGATAAAAGACCAGAATGGGACAAACACTTTGAAATGACACAAGATTAAAAAAATTAATGACTTATATTTGTTAAACTGGAAGGTACTATGTGGTAACAAATTGTTCAATAATTTCAATAAAGATTTATTAAGCACCTATTATGTACCAGGTACTGTGCTAAGTACTAGGGACACAAATAAGTAAAAGAAAGACAGGTTCCTGACCTCAAGGAACTTACAATCTAATGAAGGAAGACAACACACAAAAGGGGACTGGAAAGCAGGGCTGACAAGACACCAAAGGTTACTCGGTATCGGGGCATCTTGTTCCATGGAGTTGAAACCATTCAGAGCTGCAGAAGGGAAGTGGCATTAGGTAGAAGTCCAATTTCTGCCCTCTATGAAGGAAGAAATTGGGAGGACTTTAGTACTCCACCTTCCAATCAGAGGGGAGAAGAGGCTGAGGAAGGTGGAAGAGTGTTGAGTAGCCAAGTTTTGAGTTAGCCACAAGGTGATGATATTAGGAGTGATCAGCTTATCTTAGAAAAGGCATCTTGTTCGGTGGAATTCAATCCACCAAAGTGCAGATGGGAAGTAAGGTGACATGTATTAAGTTGTTACGTGACAAAAGGGGAGGACAAGAAAAAATATCTCAGAACATTAATGTCTTTAACAGTCATAGATAAATGTAAGGAAGATGGTCAGAGGTTGGTTTGTTCTGTTTTGATGGTCTTATGAGAAAAACTGTAAATGGCAAGTGGACTGGAGTAGGGAGGAAAGTCAGAGGAAGGTGAGCAATTTCATCGTTTCACATAATAGGGCTACATAAAATAAAGAGTATTCAAACACAGAGGAAGAGGATGGGGAAACAGGAATCCCTTGAACTTGATTTGCATCTTAAAAGTTAAGCAAAATTACACCCACCCACAGCTTTATGATCCTCTCTTTTCTAAGCTCCTCATCCCCCTACACACACACAGATCAGGATATAGAAATACACTAAACTCAACAAAGAAATACAAAATGACAGAAAGAGTGGTTTAAGAAGATGAGGAAGAAGGTTAAGGAAATAATCATAAACAAAGAAACTCCAGATCTTTGGGGAGAAAAGATTAAAAGAAAAAGAAGAAAGAGTGAAAAAAACTATGATGGGGAAAGGGAACAGAAGAGGAGCAACAGACCATGTTATTTCTATATTGTGTTAGGGAAACTGTCTTTTGCCATCTTCTTATTCATAAAGAGAGGGGTGGAGGTAGAGAAAAAAACAAGAGGAAATTGATGGAAGAAAATAACTAACAATTGTAAGTATGAACATGATTGGAAAGAACTCAAACATAAAATGAAAGAGAATAGCAGAATGTATTAAAGAGCAGAATCCAAAAATATGTTGTTACAAGAAACATATTTGGAAAAATAAATATTCATATGGGGTTAGAATGAGGGCTGGGTCAACTGAAAAAAAAAACCCAACAACTCCCTCCCCCCCAAAAAAACCCCAACAGCAGTAGCAGACTTCTAGGAGCCAAGATGGCAGAGTAAGCAGTAAATTGCATAATTTTCCCATATTCACCTCTGAGCAACCATAAAATAATGCCCTGAAACAAATCTTGGAACAGCAGAGCCAGCAAAAAGATGGGGTAAAGCAATCCTTTAGCCCAAGAAACCTGGAAGATTGCCAAGAAAGGTTTGTCTCACTCAGGCAAAAGCAGAATGCAGTCCAGGAGAGAAAATGTCTCAGTAAGGCAGGGGCAAGCCCCACCTCAGCAAACCAGATGGAGATCTTGAACCATAATGGATGGAGCAATGTCAAAACACCTATGGGCAAAACCCCAAAGAAAAATGGGAAGCAGTTTCAAGCCCAGAAAGAACTCATGGAAGAACTCAAAAAGGAGCCTAAAAGTCATATAAGAGGGTAGCAGCTAGGTGGTGCAGTGGATAGCGCACCGGCCCTACAGTCAGGAGGATCTGAGTTCAAATCCAGCCTCAGACCAAACACTTGACACTTACTAGTTGTGTGACCTTGGGCAAGTAACTTAACCCCATTGCTTACAAAAAGAAAAAAAAAGAAAAATCATATAAGAGAGGTAGAAGAAATATTGTGAAAAGAAATGAGAGTGATGCAAGAGAATTATGAAAAAAAGAGTCAGCAGCTTGGAAAAAGTAGAATTGGCCAAATGGAAAAGTAGATACAAGAACCCACTGAACAAAACAACTCCTTAAAAAATAGAATTGGTCAAATGGAAAAGGAAGCACAAAAGCTAACTGAGGAAAACAACTTAAAAGTTACAGTTGGGTAGGTGAAAGCTAATGACTCTATGAGACATCAAGAATTAATCAATCAAATTCAAAAGAATGAAAGGAGAGCAATTAACATAATTTTTCTAAAAAATAAAAATGTCAAAAACCATACAATAATCTGAAAAACTGCTGAAAATAAAATTTGATAAAATAAAACATTCATTATGCTAAAAATCCTACAATATTAAAGGCACAGAATGGTTTTTAATATGATAAAACGATCTATCTAAAACTAAAAGCAAGCATCATATTTAGTGGGGATACAGTAGAATATTTCCCCAATTTATAGGAGTAAAACAAGGAGGTCCACTGTACCCTTTGTTACTTTATATAGTATTAGAAATGAGACAAGAAAAAGGAATTAAAGGCATATAACTAGGTAAAGAATAGATAAAACTATCCCTATTTGCTGTTGATATGATGGCTTATTTAGAAAATCTTTTTTGTTTTTGTTTTTGTTTTTAGGCAATTGGGGTTAAGTGACTTGCCCAACATCACACAGCTAAGTAAGTGTCAAGTGTTTGGTCAGAGGCCGAATTTGAACTCAGGTCCTTCTGACTTCAGGGACGGTGCTCTATCCACTGCGCCACCTAGCTGCCCCCTTATTTAGAAAATCTTAAGAGAAACAGTAAAGATACTGAGATAATCAGCAAAGTTATAGGCTACAAAATAAATCCTCAACAATGAATTGTGTTTATATATATATATATATAAAAGTAACAAAATCCAAGTGACAATAATAGTAATTGGAAATTTCATTCCAAGTAACTACAAAATGTATGAACTATTTGGGAATCAATCTACCAAAGCACATAAAAGACTTAACATGGATTCATTTACAAAGTGTTCCTTAAAGAAATAAAGAACATTTTAAATACCTGGAGGAATATTTGCTTTCTTAACTAGGCTATGCCAATATAATAAAAATGACAAATACTGGCTATGACAGCAGCAGCAGCAGCAACGGCAGCAGCAGCTTCAGGAGCCCTCATCCCAGAGATGGTAAGGGGGTCAGGTAACTGGTCAGAAAGAATTTACAGGTGATACTTTGCTGGCCTTGGGTGAAGATGGTACTAATTTGCAATTCTATTGCTCATATGGGTCATAGTTCTAAGGCCAAGAGGAGCAATAGCACTTGTAGCTGCAGGGGAGTAGAGGCCCTTCCTGGCTAAAGACTAGAGTATAGACCAGGAGAGCAGTGACCATATCTCTCCCAGGATAACATCACTTTGGAAGCACTGAAAACTTGCAGAGCTGCAGAACTAGCTCTGAAAACAGCAACAAGAAAAAGCCTAAAGCTTGGCACAGTGCCTTCCTGTCCCCAGATGAGCAGAGCCAAACTTTAACATAAAGTTCAAAGTCAAGAAATAGGCTGGAAAATGAGCAAACAATAACAATAAAAATTTGACTACAAAAAGCTATTACAGTGTCAGGAAAAACCAAGGCAAACTTGGAAGACAACAACAATGTGAAAACAACTACAAGTAAAATCTCAAAGAAAAATGCGAATTGGACAAAGACCAGCAAAAATTCCTGGAAGAAATTTTAAAAAGATAAGAATGGCAGGTGGAAAATTGGGAAAATAAATGAGAGTGATGCAAGAAAATTAACAGCTTGTTAATAGAGGCAAAAAAATACTTAAGAAAAATATCACCTTCAAAAACAGAATTGGTCTAATAGTAAAACAGGCACAAAAAGTCATCGAAGAAAAAACTCCTTTAAAAATAGAATAGACCAAATGGAAAAGGAGGTACAAAAATTAATTAAAGGAAATAATTTCTTAAAAATTAGAACTGGGGAGGTGGAAGCTAATGACTCCATGAGGCAGCAAGAAAAAATAAAACAAGTCAAAAGAATGAAAAAATGTGAAATATCTGATTGGAAAAA